ACCAGTTCCAATGGTTATTCACACCCGAGTGACAGTTCAAAGTTGTATGGCAATAAAATATTACATAACAGTGGTGAAAGCAATACAGTCATTGATAGTGATATTCATCTACCAGGAACAGTGGTCGTATTTCGATCAGCATATTGTATCTGTAGCTTTCAGAAGAGTCCACATTGTGCATATTTAGTCTATACAAAACCTCGAGGTTCAGTTGACTCCAAGTCTTAGTATAGGAGATAGCTCACCACTGCCCTTGAAGGAATCTTAATGGAAACATAGTAATTTGGAGATAAACTACATCATGTATTGGCCAATTTCCTGGAGTTATTGAGTCGGTTCCAAATGAATCCCCATGCTTCAAATACTCAATAGCACCAGGAAATTGTGCAACACATGATGTTTTTCGACATTGTGAACACAAAAGTAAACCAAAACACCCACATGGGTTTTACTCTCTCCACTCATTGACAGCATTGAAGTGTCATCAACTGGCCGCTTCAGCTGTTTCGATGATAGCATCTGGAACTGCTAATTTGTGACGTCATGCCGACTATAAGTCACAATATGATTTAAATGACGTCACTACTGCTGACGACACAACAACACAATGGAGTGCGCGATATTTCGTACTTGTCAGTACGCAGTGAATAGTCTTGCAATGTTCCGGAATCAAATACCATTTGATCATGTTTTTCAACCAATCAAATTGAAGAACATGGTTACTTTTGGTTTACAATTCAATCAGAACAATGATACAACATTAAAATACTGTTTTACAATACATAAGCCTGGCCTATAACGTAATTCTCCACGTGAAATGGGTAGTTCCTCTTTGGAAGACTACATATCATGTGATTGTCTAGATTGTCTAGATTGTCTGATCCAGATTATTAACAGACTGCCACCATATAAATGGAATGCTGCTGAGTGCAGCATTAAACAACAAACAAATATGTGTCCGTCAGTACATGCAGAATAGGTAAATCACCGGGTTGACTCAAACTCAAACGATCATAAATTGTATACCAACAACTACATAATACTACATATGGGTCCATGACAACTTCAAGTACTGTCCTGGAACAGAATCACTCTACAGTGAAGTCATCTTTGGATTGAAACTTTCTGAAGTGAAACTACCCCAGGATGCCATGGTTCATGTTGGAGAGACATCAAGTGTTGTCCACTCCTTGTAATTCTGAAAAAAAGTCCACTACAACAAGATCTCTACTCTTAATGCGCATTAGTGCATCTATCTAACGAGGCAGTGCCTGAAGCCATCCTACATAGGGAAGTCTGTTGCCTCAGGTTCCTTTGTAGCCATGGCGCTCCTTTAAAGCTGCAATTGTGTAGTTTAAGGCAATGTTGTGTCGCCTTGGTCACAACTTGTTAACGTGTTTTTGTTCAGCCTGTCATGGACAACAAGAGAGTTTTATTGTGGACACAATTCAACTACACACAAGCATTAGACAGTTTGGTCACACTGACCTTCGCTTGCAATAATCACACAACGTGCATAACTGGTCTGCTGTGTGAAGCCATGTGAACGGGTGTAGCACTCCTTTGAAATTATATAGATGGAAATCACCAAGGGCTGAAACGATCTGTTGAATTGGCATTTAAGGAGTTGGTCAGTAACAAGAAAGATCATATACTTTAAAGAAGACAACTTCTTCATCATATTATGATACTATACTACAGTGCAAGAGGGAAGTACTACTCACAGAACAGATTAGTGTATATAGAGTAGTATCTAACCGAAACAACCCGATGGTGTACATGAACGGGATCGCTAACACCAAGAATTCCCTACCTTTGCTAAATATATAAGTGGGCCAGGTTGTCACGTGAGTGTAGTTCTACACTCTTTTATATGAATAATATGTACCCATAACATAACTGTAAACCTGTCAACAATTGAGAGTTTAATAACTAGATGATCCCAGGTATAGAAGTAAAACATGTATGACTATCCTTAACATTATATTGTAAAACTGGGCAGATCACAGCAACCAAAGTTAAGCTACCTCCAAACTCACACTGAGTTTTCAAGACAAATTATCAACGTCCACTGACAATACTATCTACTATCATGAAGAGTTTCTATAGCCACAACAGGTATATAGTTGAAACCGTGGTACATTTCACAGAGTGAAAATTCACGAAAGAAATTAAATGTGTTCCCCTTTGTCAAGAGAGATAATGCTAGTTGTGCAAGTCAGCTCGGAACACCTTCTTGTTGCAAAGGGTAGCATTGTGATGACTGAAGTATTATTTCTATGGGACTATGATGTCTTTTCAATTACCTGTGAAGTGGTCCTGAAAATCCCCGATAACCCAAATGGCATAACTAGAAAATCAATTCAGTCTCTCGCATGCCGACTTGTTGAATACATGTTTAAAAGCCCAAATACGTTTCAAATGGTAAACTAAAACAAACTCTCATTTACTCTTAAACTCACTTGTTCACAGCAAAACTACTTATTTGTGGCAAAGAATCCAAGGAAACCGTTACCTAACCACAAACCATCATCGTTAAGTTCTAATCACATGGTTACAATCCAGGTAGAAATCGGTGGATAGGTGGTTGAGTAAGTACATTACGAGAATAGGTGAAAACAACAAAAACACGTGCAAATGAAACATCAGTGAAGATCCCAGTTAGAATTGGTCTTCAGCAGATCATGTTTTTGTGAAGAAGCGACTGAGGGGATCGGGAGGCCAGGCTCAGACGCTGCTTGATGTATGTCATGGTATCCCAGTTGCACAGATTGATGCGGTCAATCACTGGACTGTGTGGTTCAGACTCGATTGATGTCAGACAGCCACCAGGTGGAAAATTGCTGACTGTGTCGTAAATCAAACAAACAAATAAACATGCTATTTTATGCGCTATTGATCATGTTTGAGCACAGTTTAACGCTGATCCTATAATCGTTCACACTCACTTGACTACCGATTGTTACCCGAACGGTAACCACGTAATATCACCAGTGTAATGCTGACAAAACCGATATTTCTTGAGAAGAGAACTTTCAATATATTTCTTTATATCTATCAAGTAACATTCCAAAATTTCCTGAATGTCTTACTTTCACTTTATAAATATCCGTACACGTCCAGCTGGATTTGCTAATCGACCAGCCAAACGTATTTACTGGAAAACTGTTGAGAGTTGGGTAAAACAAAAAAACGAAAACTAACAATTTTTACAGTCATCCTGAGTGAACTGAGTTGGCAAGTAAGCCACCACTACATCTTTCTTCCATGGCGTCAGAAGGAGGCCGCCTGGAGGGTATGACGGTTCTGCTTGAGCATATGACGGTTCTGCTCGAGTGTATGACGCTTCTTCTGTCGCCACGTTTGCACGTACGCCGTCAGACTGCGGCAATGATGACATCATAAAGCACCTGCTCTCCTGACACACAAGCCCAGTGTAATATAGCGTCACACCCTCTTACATTCAACCTTCAACTAGTACAGGCAGACACATGCCTACCTATAGCGTCACACCCTTTTACATTCAACATACATCTAGTACAGGCAGACACATTCCTACATGTTCTATAGCGTCACACCCTCTTACATTCAACATACAACTAGTACAGGCAGAAACATGCCTACAGGTTCTATAGCGTCACACCCTCTTACATTCAACATACAACTAGTAGAGGCAGAAACATGCCTACAGGTTCTATAGCGTCACACCCTCTTACATTCAACATAAAACTAGTACAGGCAGACACATGCCTACAGGTTCTATAGCGTCACACCCTCTTACATTCAACATACAACTAGTACAGGCAGACACATGCCTACAGGTTCTATAGCGTCACACCCTCTTACATTCAACGTACAACTAGTACAGGCAGACACATGCCTACATATTCTATAGCGTCACACCCTCTTACATTCAACGTACAACTAGTACAGACAGAAACATGCCTACAGGTTCTATGGTGTCACACCCTCTTACATTCAACATACATCTAGTACAGGCAGACACATGCCTACAAATTCCATAGCGTCACACCCTCTTACATTCAACATACAACTAGTACAGGCAGACACATGCCTATCTATAGCGTCACACCCTCTTACATTCAACGTACAACTAGTACGGGCAGACACATGCCTACAGATTCTATAGCGTCACACCCTCTTACATTCAACATACAAGTAGTACAGGCAGACACATGCCTACCTATAGCGTCACACACTCTTACATTCAACATACATCTAGTACAGGCAGACACATGTCTACAGGTTCTATAGCGTCACACCCTCTTACATTCATCATACAACTAGTACTGGCAGACACATGCCTACAGGTTAATGTTCATTGTTGTTGTGGAATGACCTTAAACCGAACGTAATATGGTATATCACCTCACCTCAAGTCGTCTCACCTCCCGCCATAAAGCTGGAATGGTATCACGCTATCTGCCCCAACACCCACCCCCAACCCACCCCTTCTCCAACGGATAACTGCTGGAATACTGCTGAGTACGGCGTTAAACGATGTAAACTAACTATTTAATATTGAAGCTGAAGATTTTTCAACACACGGTATAGTGTTCTGAAAACTGGAGGGTATTCAAGTCACTAGAATCAAATTATGCAAGAATAATTTGCCCTTGAAAATGCTCGACAGAACACCTTGGGAACCATTTTATGGAAAAATGCACGTGTGCGGATTTGAGTGGTGGCATTGTCAATGAGAGCATGTGTGTTTAACAACTTTAATTCATGCAACACGATTCTGTTGTCGATGTATCGTATCATTATAAATACGACAACACAGTGATGTAGCTGTTAAATTGTTGGAAAACTTATGATTGTCTACAGGTAGTTTATTGTCTCGGGTGCCTGGGCCATGGTCGGTTGAGGTTTCTGCTTGGGTTCCAGTGTCCATGGGCTTTGACTTCGTGTTACAGGACCGGCATTAGATGGTTGGGACACCTTGTCCTTGGAAGCCACGAGCCCCGCATTTCCACCACTTATCGTATCATTATAAATACGACAACACAGGGATGTAGCTTCTTCTGTTTATTCCCTGGGTCAGAGCCCAACTGACGAACTTCGTTCGGACCTCCCGGGATATCCCTCGCCCCTGACCTCCCTTGGTCATCAGCCGGTCACCCCGATACTCCAGGGAGCTCAGCCTAGCTCAGCCTCCCCGGCCAGTACTTGCATTAATATAATTTGTCTTGTCTACAAATGCACTAAGTTAATTCTACGTTGTCTACTTTGTTACACTATGTTTCATTTACAACATTTATACTCAGGACACTAACATGTATGTAAAAGCAATAGTCACCAAATTGTCACCTCCTCGTGACGATGGATATTTGCAATACTGTCTGTGGGCACACGAAAGTTATTTGCACACAATTGTCCAGGCACAATTTCCAATGAGGCATCAAAATAATATACACTCTAATAAATATTGAATATGTTCACACGTCCTTTAACTAGGATGAAAATATAGATGGTGAGCACTGGCGCATCACATTCCGCTTGGTACAACACAAACACACAAAGTTGTCCGTTTCCTTGTGTCCACTGTTTCGAAAAATAATCATGAATGTTAAGACATTTCCACACATTCTAAAGTACAATCGTGCCAATATCTCAGTTGTCCCGGGCATACTACAGCAAACAAGGTTAATAGACAGGCAACCGTAAAAAGTGAACAAATAATGATAACAATTTTATGAGATCATTCCCTTATGGAATGAGGGGATAAAGTAATGATGATTGTGGAGCTGAGGCTTGATTGCCATTAACTTGATTGATGAATATATTGTGTTATGCTATCATGACGCAGTAGAAGGTAAGCACAGTATTGACCAGCTAAGATAGTCTGTAATTTGTAATACTTAACAAGTGAAATTTTGTATCGCGTTGGAACAATCAAAATGTCATCTTCCGGATCCGAAAAGCTAATTTGCCAATCAAACGTTATCATAGCGGAAAAGTAACTTTTTGAAAGCCGGACATTTCGCACCACTTCAGTGTACGTGACCTTAATTTGAGAAGGACATGCTGCAGAGTTCATCAAAGCAACGTGGCACCAGTTATTTCTTGTGGCAAGCTCTAATTCCAATTTTGTACCGGATCGTGAAATTCGTTTTCGGCATTTGAACACCAGTAAGATGACAATCAAAGTTATGGCAATTAATATAAGACCGTTGTCGAAAGTAACGACGCTAGATAAACTAACAAAGTTGTTAGGAATATATGCAGATTGGATTGTAGTTGTGGGCTGCACAGTAGTAGGGGGTTTCCATTCCAAATTAATCATTTGAACCTTGACCAAAACTGTGACCTGAGATGAGCGCTAAAGTAACTAAAATAGATCTTAGTTTCAGGAATCCTAGAAGAGTGAAACAGAGGGCAAGAGTGGCGAAAGCGAGGGAGATGTATGCGATAACGCTGGAGCCATGACCCCTTGCGGATGCCGTAGCGTCATCAATGTCGTTATCTTCAAGAACTCCCATTATCGGAATTTACAGCTTGCTTGGCAAGTTCAACTGCTTGTTTCAAAGATTGAGAAAGTGCACGGTCAGCATCTGTGTCTGTGCATTTCTTAATGTTAATGTGTAGAGGCGGAATTTTGAAAACAGGAACTATTGAATGTAATCTTGTTTTAACTAATGGCTGTAATCTCTCGGTATCAAAGAAATGTCTCAATAATGGTAAATTTAGTTGGAATTTGACAATGCCTATTGACTCGGTATGGCAGTGTGTGATTCTATGTGGTACGTGAAAATGATCTGCAAACAAACTACTTCTTCAAGGAAGATCGATAATGCATAATTTACAAGGATCCTTCTTAGTGATTGTGTGCTCACAATGCAATACTATGGATGTAATGTCTGAGAGAACTACGGTACCTGTATTTAATTCCATGACGCTGGAACTTACTCCGTAAGGAATGATACTATATTTGCATAAATTATAGACACTGTCAAGCTTTTCAAGGAATATAGCCGATAAACAAGTAGGACGAGATATTTGCTGCTGGGCCACCATTGTTGGGCAATGTTTGCGTTTCTGTCCATGGCATAATTGAAAATCTGCTTCAAACATGTCAAAGAAGGTGTCACGTTATGGATTAATTGCGAGATACACTGGAACGTTAATCAAATTAGTAGAGTGAACCGACGATGAGTTAATTGGTAAAGGAAAGGTGTAGACCTTGTAAAGGTTAAATAAAAATGTGTGTGACGTCACAGGTATTGAAATTGTAATGAATACGGAATCTTTCTTTCTTGTACACAATAATGGTGTTGGTATCGTAATAGAATTCAAGATCCGTTTGTGCTATATGGAATCCTGGAAAATCTGAGGCGAGATGTTTAGTAACATTGCTTAGAGTTTGTTGTAAAACCTCGGCTGGAATTAAAAATGTAGACAGACGGTGATAAATCAGATCATGGATTCCTACATAGAAATCCTTAAGATGTCTTTTTGTTTCAAAAGTCAAACTCATGTATTGCAGCATTAGTTGACTACCGAGTGTTGACCTACTGGCTATCCTAGCAATCTCTATGTGGATATGGTTTTCTACTTGACTTATTAGTTTGTGATTTTCAGTTACAGCGGTCGCTAACGTATGTTAACGTTTGGAAGATATAGCGCGATATGATGCAATGTCCAAATCGACCTTTTTGAAGTTATTTAATAACTCCCTGTTTTGTTTTAAAATTGCGGAGGCCTGCTCGTGCATTTTCTGTAGATCACCTTCTGTAGCTAGGCCAAATGCCATCCTCTCTTACGTCTTTGTCGTTTGCTCACGGCCATTTCGAGTATCAGACTCTTTATACTGGAACGGGTATCTGTCCATTCATTTACAAGATCATTCTGTAACTGATTGACAATTTTCTATACCAGATTCAAGCTGTTGCACGATTGTTCTTCAGAATTGTTACATGGTGTCAAGAATGGTTTGAATTTAAATGTTGGCAATAGTACTTCATAGGTATGTGTCCACTTGTTCTGTGCATTGTCCATAACGCCGACCCTTGTGAAGATAGTGCCATAGTTCAGTCGTGGCTCTATGCTGTATGCTTCCATTATGGAGATTTGGGAGACCTACTTTCCAAACTACCCCAAGGTATTGATGTTATCATACTAGATAACTTAACAACGTCGTTTCTTTCTCGCTCTGCCCATCATTGTCTTATCGATATGAAATTGACGTACCAGTTCTGCTGGCAAATTCATTTGTGGTTCCCAAGTAGCTTCTCCCCTTGTGTAATCTTTCCATTAACCCTGTAATACTTTCGTCTGTTAATCGTACGGGAAGCAAGTAATTTTTTCTACTTCGTATGTGGGCTCATCGGTAGGTGCAGTTTCACTGGGTGATCTTGTTTGATGAGCCAACTGAGACCTGGCGAGGTCACTCTGACCTGCCGCTGCACTGTTTCCCTCCCTCTTTACTGGGGATCAGCAGTCGGACACTGCTGTTGTGCCGTAACAGGCCGCTCATTAGAAGGGTTGTTGGGGCGCTGTGACGGATCATTGTACATGCGTAGTCGATTGGCATGGACTGACGATCTCTGGAGTTTGTTAGTTTCACAATGCCGTATCAAGTAGGCGGCGTTGGGACCTTGTCGAGTGATAAAATATGGACCATTGTACTTTCTGTGCAATTTTGGACTAAGGCCAACTGGTACCTTCGGATCATGTAACAAGACTTTCTGTCCTAAGTCAAATACACCATCGGATGCGTTCCTGTCATAGTATTCCTTGTAGACTTTTTGAGCTTTCTGGATATTATGTTTGGCGACTTCATGTGAAACATCTAAATTATGGAACAGTTTGTCAAGATGTTGGTGATAAGTATCAGACAGTGTGTTGTCTGGAGTGTAAGCGGTGTCGATTGGTAAGACACATTCTTTGCCAAATAACAGATAGTATGGACTAATCTGTGTTGATCTGCTAGCCGGTGTAACACGATACGCACACGCAATACTGGAAAGCAAGTCAGGCCAGTCTGTCTGATCACCGGAACCGTATGCACGAAGGTTTTCTTCTAACACACTATTAAACCGTTCTACAGTTGCATTACTGCATGGATGGTAAGCTGAAGTGCGGAGTTTGACTATGTTAAATATTTTGCAAAGTGCTGTAAACAGTTTTGAATTGAAATTCTGTGCTCTATCTGTGAGAAGTTCCCGTAGCCAGCCGTATCTACAAAATACCTCATTGTACAAGATTTACGCGACTTCAGTTGCTTGCATTGTCTTCAGGGGAAATAGTTCCACCCATTTAGAGAAAGCACACGCAACAACGAGGACATATTGATATCCATCTGCCGTTTTCTTGAGAGGACCTACAATATCAACGTGTAACCTTGAGAATAGACTGCCGACAGGTAGCGGATGTAATGGAACCTTAACGTTTTTGTTCATTCGTTTTGGTTTCTGACATGCAATACACGTTTTAACTTAAGTTTTGATATCATTGAACGTACCCGGCCAAAAGTGGCGATAACGAACCAGCTGGTAAGTGCGTTCTACACCCTGATGACCTGCCATTAGTGAATCATCTAAGCCTACCAGTATGTCATCACGAAGCGATTTTGGCACTACTAGTTGTTTGATCAAGCGTTCTGTTTTGTCATCCTTACCGCGTGGGTAATTAAGATGATACAACACATTGTCATCAAGGATAGAATCATATGCTTCGAGAATCAAACGTCTAGCCACTTGTCCTCAGACGGAAGTGAACCTTCGTGTAAGTATGAAATATATTTGAGAACCATCTGGATCAGATCTCGGTAAAATTTTGATTTGGGATGTATCTACCGTGACTTTGGATTGTGCTTCGGATATATCGGTGGTTGCCTAATCGGAAGTGTTGGAATCTGTGTCTAAAATGTCTATGTTGAAAATATCTGGAAGCTGTCCATCTACCGTGGAATCTGGATTACCAATTTCATACGATCTACGTGAGAGTGAATCGGCATTAGTGTTCTGTTTGCCAGGTCGGTATGTAACTGTATTATGGTACACTGCTAGTTGTATGGACCAGTGGGCGAGACGACCATGTGTGTCCTTACGCGTTTTTAACCAGTTCAATGCACTGTGATCTGTTATGACCTCGAAGTGATTGTGAATGTTTGATTCCTTCTACTACTGAGAGACACTCGAGTTCCGAGATGCTCCATTTCTTTTCGTTATCTCTTAAACCTCATCCTCCATAGGCTACTGCATGCTCGTCCCGCTGTCCAAGAATATAACTGATTGGCGCCTGTCGTGAGAAGAAAGAGAATGAAAAGTCGTGATATTTTAAGATTGGTTTTGAAACAAGCAATTGTTTTAGTGAATGAAAGGCTGCATCACATCTGTCTGACCAAACAAATGGTGTTTCTTTCCTGAGAGTGCTGTTAGAGGTGCTGCAATGTGGGAAAGTCCTTTTAGAAACCGTCTGAAGAAATTTGCTAAGCCTAAAAATGCACGTACTTCATGCACTTACTTTGGTTGGGGAAAACTTTGAACAGTCTCGATCTTGTTTGGGTCGACAGTGATGCCATCTTTTGACAAAACATAACCCAAATAAGTTACTCGAGATGCTGCAAAGTTACATTTGCTGGGCTTTGCTTTAAGACCGGCTTCTCTCAACATTGTGAAAACTAAACTGAGATCTTTCAAGTGTTGTTCAAAATTCTTAGAGTAGACCAGGAGGTCGTGAAAATAAGCAATAGCGGATTTCCAATGCAGACCTCTCGGTACTTCCGTCATGACAATCATGAATGTAGCTGGTGCAATACATAATCCGATAGGCATACGCTTAAATTGATACTGACCATTGTGGACAGCGAAACTAGTTTTGTGTTTTGAGTCAGGGTCAAGTTCATGGAATCCATTAAATAAGTCGAGAACGCTAAACATAGTTGTGTGTTTTTCACCCATGGTGCCAAAAACATCTTCTATTCGTGGCAAAGTTTGGAATGACGGCAGTGTTTCAGTGATTCAGCCTACGGAAGTCACAACATAGTCTGTACTGAGGGCTTTTTAACCATAACTACAGGTGCCTGTCACGGGGGAAATAGAATTTGTAATGATATCATGATCTAAAAGCTATTTAATTTGTTTATCAATTTCCTCTCTCATTTTGGGTCTGGTTCTATAACATGGTTGACGAACAGGTTGGGCATCACCTGTATTGATATTGTGATAATAAATATCTGTGCATCCCACCTCATTAAGACCTGTAGCGAAAATGTATCATTTCAGTCCTAAAAAGGGTAAGATTTCAGTTTTCTGGTTTGAGGTTAAATCTGATTGAGAAAAATCAAAGCCAAGATCCATTGCTGTTTGTATCAATTGTATCGATATGGTACAGAAGTATTTTGATCTGAGGAAGCCCTAATTTAGAAGCATCCGCAAATGTAAATGTGGGTGTGCAGAGTCCCAATTTGTGCGCTTGTTTACGAGGTAGCTTAACAGTGATTGGAATGACAGCTTCTGATCTGGGAGGAACAGTAACTGTGCTAGAAATATGAGTAGTAAAAATCATCGCCTCGGGTTTCTATTAAAGGAGTTTCAATTAGGCCATTTTGAATTTTTTGAATATGAGCATGGAAGTCTATGGTAGCAGATTGATCTTGTAAGAAGTTCAAACCTAATATTGCTGGTTGATTTGACTTTGAGAGGATATGAAACTTTTGTACCAAAAGTAAGTTTCCAACAGTAATGGGTACAAAAGCATGACCTAACACTTGAATAGCATGAACTCTGGCACCATGCACATTAGTTAGTTCTGATCTTTGAAGTGGGCATTGAAATGAAAGTTTAGCCTTCCGATAGAGAGTTTCGGTAAGTGTACTAATTGAAGCACCAGAATCAACCAAAGTTTGAACACTGATATGTGAAATGTTGCCATTGACTCGATTTTGAGATCTTACATCTGACACTGACGTTTGAAAAATAGAATTTTGAGGTTTTGGTACATGTAACCTGTCACTAACAGAGCGAAAACTTGGTCTCCGTTGTGCAGGTGCGTGTCCCCATATCCTATATTGTTAATTTTGCCTGTTGTCTTGAGCAGATCTGCAGACTGCTCTTAAATGACGGGGCGGTGGGGCCGAAGACCCGGGTTCGAATCCCCACATTGGTACAATTTGTGAAGCCCATTTCTGGTGTCCCCCGCCGTGATGTTTGCTAAATGCGGCGTAAAACCAAATTCAGTCAGTTAGTCTTAAATGCCCTATGCGCCCTCAAGTATAGCACTGTCTGCTCAGTTCGGGACATTGAGATTTGGAATGATTGTACTTACGGCAGCGTGTATCGGCAGGATGTCTTCGTTGAAAGGGCACTGGCGGGAACTTCACTCTGGGGGCTGGAGACGGTGACCTGGACCGAGGTCGGGTGGCCATAGTGTTCACCTGTGTGTTCACTAGAGTAATGAGCCTTTCCATTTGCGTCTGAAGCGTCGCCAATGACGAGGAAAGACCGTTCGTTGTCTCTGACGTGGGAAGGACATTCTCGGCCAATCGTGCAGCTTCAATGACGTGCTTCAGTGTCTTTGGAGACATCATGCATACGGCTGACTGTATTGATGGTCTGAGACCCATCAAGACGACCTGGCGGACTTGGTCGAGGGTCACCGTCTAGGCGTCTGGCCAAACTCGTGAATTCTGCCACGAAATCATCAACAGATTGTGCTGGTTCCTGTTTCGCAAGGGTGGAACCGCTGAAGCAAGTTTATGTCAGTGGCGTCTGTGTCACTGGCTCTGTTAAGAAACTCTGTTTTTAGACGCTCCCAAGATTCCTGAGACGCTTGTGGCAGATCGTCATACCACATTAGCGCCTTTTCCCTACATCTCTTTAATTTGGAAAAACGCTCGAAGCACTGGAACCAAAATTGTCCAATTTGTTCAGTTCTAGACCAAGGAGGAGGTGTTAGATTGTTGGAAAACTTATGATCGTCTACAGGTGGTGTATTGTCTTCGGGTGCCTGGGCAATGGTCGGTTGAGGTTTCTGCATGGGTTCCAGTGTCCGTGGGCTTTGACTTCGTGTTGCAGGACCGGCATTAGATGGTTGGGACACCTTGTCCTTGGAAGCCATGAGCCCGGCATTTCCACCACTTATCGTATCATTATAAATACGACAACACAGGGATGTAGCTTCTTCCGTTTATTCTCGCCGTGATGTTGCTGGAATATTGCTAAAAACGGCGTAAAACCAAACTCAGTCAGTCAGTCAGTCTTCCGTTTATTCCCTGGGGCGACCTCCCGGGATATCCCTCGCCGCTGACCTCCCAGGGTCATCAGCCGGTCATCCCGAGACACCAGGGAGCTCAGGCTAGCTCAGCCTCCCCTGCCAGTACATGCATTAATATAATCTGTCTCGTCTACACATGCACTAAGTTCTTAATTCTACGTTGCCTACTTTGTTACACTATGTTTCATTTACAACATTTATACTCAGCACACTAACATGTATGTACAACCAATAATAATTCATATAGCTATAATATTATCTATAGCATAACATCACTACGATTTATGTCAAAACGATCATCTGCTGCCATGCTGTATTCAAGTCATCGTGATTATTGTGACCAAAATATTCATCATTACACGCGTTCTGTTTGGTATGTCGCATTTTCGCAAAGAACATTCAGCGACATGGGGTGCGTCTCGTGGTAGTTTAAGGAAAGGGGAGAGTGGTGACGAATACATTAACTCGTGAGACTACCTTAGGGTAATGTAAGTTTACCCCATGTATCAGATATATTGATGATCCTATTTAAAATCCATCAGTCTTAGGCTAGTATGCGGTATCAATGAAAATTATTTACTGTATTTGTGTATACTTATTCCTGCTGCTCATTAGTGGTGGTCCGATTATTTGAAATAATTGAAGATTGGTCACAATGACTAAACGACCAAGCAATCCATTATGTTTTCTCACTTTTATTCCTACTTATCCTACTCCTACTTATAGACAGTGTGTTTCCTTTTCGGTTGCCCCAAACAGCTGGGAGATTACAGCGTGCAGCGTTACACATCGAACAAACGACCCAGAACAAGGTTTCAGGAAAACGTTCGTATGTACAGTAAACTCACTAACTAGGTCATGTATGTAAGTCTATACTATAGACTGACCCACTACGTCATGTATGTAAGTGTGTACTGTAGACTGACCCATTACGTCATGTAAGTGTGTACTGAAGACTGACCCACTACGGCATGTGTGTAAGTGTGTACTGTAGACTGACCCACTACATCATGTATGTAAGTGTGTACTGTAGACTGACCCACTACATCATGTATGTAAGTATGTACTGTAGACTGACCCACTATGTCATGTATGAAAGTGTGTACTGTATACTGACCCACTGCGTCATGTATGTTATTGTGTACTGTAGACTGACCCACTTCGTCATGTATGTAAGTGTGTACTGTAGACTGACCCACTGCGTCATGTATGTTATTGTGTACTGTACACTGACCCATTACGTCATGTATGTAAGTATGTACTGTAGACTGACCCACTATGTCATGTATGTAAGTGTGTACTGTAGACTGACCCACTACGTCATGTATGTAAGTGTGTACTGTAGACTGACCCACTACGTCATGTATGTTAGTGCGTACTGTAGACTGACCCATTACGTCATGTATGTAAGTATGTACTGTAGACTGACCCACTTCGTCATGTATGTAGGTGTGTACTGTAGACTGACCCACTACGTCATGTATGTAAGTGTGTACTGTAGACTGACCCACTACGCCATGTATGTAAGTATGAACTGTAGACTGACCCACTTCGTCATGTATGTAGGTGTGTACTGTAGACTGACCCACTACGTCATGTATGTAAGTGTGTACTGTAGACTGACCCACTACGTCATGCATGTAAGTGTACTGTAGACTGACCCACTACGTCATGTATGTAAGTGTGTACTGTAAACTGACCCACTACGACATGTATGTGTGTACTGTAGATTGACCCACTACGTCATGTATGTAAGTGTGTACTGTAGACTGGCCCACTACGTCATGTATGTAAGTATGTACTGTAGACTGAGACACTACGTCATGTATGTAAGTGTGTACTGTAGACTGACCCACTAAGTCATGTATGTAAGTGTGTACTGTAGACTGACCCACTACGTCATGTATGTAAGTGTGTACTGTAGACTGACCCACTACATCATGTATGTAAATGTGTACTGTAGACTACGTCATGTATTTAAGTGTATAGTAGACTGACCCACTACGTCATGTATGTAAGTGTGTACTGTAGACTGACCCGCTACGTCATGTATGAAAATGTGTACTGTAGACTGACCCACTACGTCATGTATGTAAATGTGTACTGTTGACTGGCCAACTACGTCATGTATGTAAGTATGTACTGTTGACTGACCCACTACGTCATGTATGTAGGTGTGTACTGTAGACTGACCCACTACTTCATGTATGTAAGTGTGTACTGTAGACTGACCCACTACGTCATGTGTGTAAGTGTGTACTGTAGACTGACCCACTTCGTCATGTATGTAAGTGTGTACTGTAGACTGGCCCACTACGTCATGTATGTAAGTATGTACTGTAGACTGACACACTACGTCATGTATGTAAGTGTGTACTGTAGACTGACCCACTACTTCATGTATGTAAATGTGTACTGTAGACTGACCCACTACGTCATGTATGTAAGTGTGTACTGTAGACTGACCCACTTCGTCATGTATGTAAGTGTGTACTGTAGACTGACCGACTACGTAATGTATGTAAGTGTGTACTGTAGACTAACTCACTACGTCATGCATGTATGTGTGTACTGTAGACTGACCCACTACGTCATGTATGTAAGTGTGTACTGTAGACTGACACACTACGTCATGTATGTATGTGTGTACTGGAGACTAACCCACTACATCATGTATGTAAGTGTATACTGTAGACTGACTCACTACGTCATGTATGTAAGTGTGTTCTGTAGACTCACGCACTTTGTGATGTATCTGTGATAAGTGATAAGAAATATAATATGGAATGTGATATATTAGGATATAAAATATGGTATAACAAAAAGACAAAGTCATCAATATAATGGCAAAATACCCTTCATGAATATGTCCACTAGTAATGACTTTGTCAAATGTTTCCGTGTGTATATCAGTGAGTAAGTTAGTGAGTAAGTGAGGTTACTTTTATACTCAGCAATATTCCAGCTATATGGCAGCAGTCCGTAAATAATCGAACCTGGACAAGACAATCCAGTGTTCAACAGCATCAACATCGATCTACGCAACTGGGATACAATTAGAAGTGTCGACCAAGTCACTGACTATATTACAAACCGGAAGACAGAACTGAAAGGTTTTTAAGTTCTGCACCATAAAAGAGCACTACCACCAATTTCAGTCGAAGTCAAACCTGTCGCCATGGAAACGCAAAAACATATTTTATATAGGAAATACCAAAACTACCAAAAGGCATAAGTATACCACCATACCTATCGATGTGCCAAGTTTGGTGAAGAAATATTAAACGGTTTTGAAGTTCAGCTCCGGGAAAGGAAAATGTGCACGGACGGACGGACGGAAGGACGGACGGACGGAGTCCATTTAAATATCCCCGGAAACGCGTTGCGGGGAATAAGAACGGACATTATAAGTTTGTCATACGTATAATTATGCATCCAACTGCATATTATTATTCTGACTGGGATATTTTGACATGATATAATAATGACAGACAGTCACACGGACAGACAGATGGTGTTTTATTTTGTATAAAGGCTTCAAGACCCATGGTACAAGGTCTGTTTGCAGCTTGCATAAGGAATGAAGTGGCAGTTACAGTAACATACAGTAAGAAAATACCCGTTTCAGAACAGGTTACAATTTGCAATCTCATTCACATCTGGAGATATGCGGAAACGTCTTAAGTGAACATCAATGACCATGTTTAAAGTGTCATTAATAATACATCCTCATTTCATGATACACGACATCCACTTCACGTTCAATAGCATCATTGTCATTGCATAGAATAACTCCATCAGTGTAAGTGGTAAAACTGCTCGTAACTAACTATATACCTCGATTATTACTGCCACCCCTAAACGTTGTTAACAACCATCTATATTGAACATCTATGTTAAATAGAGCATATTTTGTATCAGGTAAATTAAATTTTGTTTAGATATATAAATGACAATCAAATGAAATATATAGATCCTACGTAGTCCCAGAAAAAACTCTTATTGAACCTTTCAACAGTTTTACTTTCGGGACACCTACAGCTGACATAAAACTAAAGGCAGGCAGACCAGTACCAAATCGATAAAGTAGACTATATCTGTCACAGGCCCGCCTAGATGTTTTGATATTTATAAACTCACATTAAAAAGAATGTTAATATCACTACTGCCCTACAAAGAACAGTACTATCTAGCTTCTCGGCGAACTGAAATAAAATATATTTGAATCACCTAGTTTACATAATTCAGGCAACACCAAAACCTAATCGATAAAGCAAATTGACAACAGAATTGTTCAGGTGGACCACTTCCCTGTGCACGGTAAACAGCAAAACCTGACAGGATTGATACCAATATTTATTCCAATGCATATTAAATAACATCAGCTAACACCTAGCATATCTTACACAATGAACATCAGACATGTTATCAGATACATACAATATAGAAATATAGAAAGTCAATGCATGTATTTATCAGATAAGTCAACCAGTCCACATGACATCGCAAAATAGTTGAATACAAACAGTTCTCTAAAGCGGGATTCTGGTGATAATTTATCCCCTATTTCAACCTTGTAATTTACTGGAGGAGTAGACAGATCGGAGTCAAACACAACAGGTACAGACGGTAGATGTTTTATATCTACTCATGTCATACTGACCAAAACTAAAGCCTGATATTTTATAATTGGCGTGGAACTCTAAGAGTGGCACATCCATCTCTACACACCCCATTGTCAGAGGTAGACCCAGTGTTTCAATTAGACAGTAACTCACACACAACTTTCAGTTTTCAATTTTATACACACATGTAAATGTACATAGGGGGCCATGTTGTAATCAACTCTGTGACATGGCAGGATTGTACTTTTGACATTATTTGTGTGGATACACGGACCAAGAAAAAACACACAAAGTAAACCCTCTGTGGGTAATTTAAATTATTTCCAAACACAACAGGACTGATAGAATAAAGAAACAGACAGTTTCGTAGCTACATTTCTCTCCTAACACAAGTACTTTGGCACATTAAAACTGGGACATTATATGTCCGCTTCTATCACTTTCATTGTCTAACTGAACTGACATCAACATGTCTATTTTACAGCTACAAATATTATATTTCAAACTATAGCCTCAACGAATGGGTATTTAAATTGTTTATTTCACAGAAGAAAAACAAAATATGTCAAAATATTCGTGATTTGAAACAACTTTTTACTCAATCAGCAACTCAGTTGTTAGTTGTGACATGTCCCAGAAATGTATGAAATGTTTCATATACTGATCAGTTATTACATAATAATAATCATAACAATACTCTTGTGTGGATGTAAAATGCTGCTAGTACACAAATGAAAACTGTCATGTAGAAAACCGACATATTTAGCTAACCTTGTCACATTGTTGTACACAACATACAACGCATAAACAGGTAACTTCTATGTCCGCTTCTTTCAGTTCTGTGGTATTGAATTTGTCTGATAAAGTTGATGTGTGATATTTACAAGTTTACACTGGGTCATGTTTAGTATATTCCTTAGGCCAGGACTTCATTAATGAGTGATTTCTTGATGTCAGACATGAGGATCTCCTCCCCACTGACCACCTTCATGTTTACTGTGTAGTCACTGACCCGACAGACAGCAAACACAGGGAGAAGATCCTCCCTGAACTCCACATCAACTTTCCCTAAAACAACCGACCTGTCTATGTCAATAAATCCTATTCTACCCCTCCCGACATCCAACACAATGCCATAGTGGAGGGTGGCCTGTCTGCCGGGTGTGGTAGACATTGTGTTACTGTAACACTTCCCCCACTCCCCCGCCAGATACACCCTGGTACAGAGACTCCCCTGGTGTGTGCCACAGCTCCATACACGGACACACCAGGAGCGGGGCTGGTCACAAACATACATCTCACTGTCTACCTGGCTCTCCTCCCCCACACCTACCTCCAGGACAGGCCACCCCAACACTCTAACCACAACACCCACCCTGATATGGGTCTCCCAGTAACGTGTTGTGTGGGGGACAGGGGTGACACTAGAGGGGGATGGAGTAAGGGGGATGGGGGTGGAGCTACACGTGCCGAACAATCTCTGTAGCTTGCCACTGTCCGTGTGTTGTGTCGCGGGCGGCGAGTTTGCCAGCTCACCGTCGGTAGTAACATGGCACCAGCGTGTGTTGACTCGACCAGCGTCCAGTTCGAGTTTAGGACCTGGAAATATACAATTGTTATTTTATTGAGTTTAGCAACTGTATTTCCTACAATATATCATTGTATTGTTTGTCCCGTGTCAGTGATTCCAAAACAGAGCACTAAATGATCGGCTGCCATTTTCGTCCGTCTGTAAATACAACGATGCTCGTGCTCTAGATAGTAATAATAACGGCATGATACTATCAAGATGGGTATTTAAATTGTTTGTCATACATTTCTACATGCATTGGTAAACAAATAAACACTGGTTTAAATACTTTTTTCACCCAGCTGAGTTTGACCTAGTTTGTTGTGATGGCGGTCAGAAATAGACACTACCGCTCCCTAATTATGGGAATGTTTCAACATCATTTCACTATAAAACTATCACCATAGGTATTCTAAACTCATATCACACAAAATAGTAAAGAATGAGACAGACAAAATTGCTGTTTGCCGATATTTTTATTTGTGAGTGTTCAACAGACAGAACGTTAATCGGTAACTTCTACGTCCGCTTCAATAACTGAACACAGTTTTATGACACTCGCTGTGTGGGGAAGGTAATTGTCCGGTCGTGTGTGTTGATTAAGATACGTATTTGTGAATGGTATGGATAATATACGATTTAATTAAATATATATAAATACTGCAACATAGCAATAATCAATACATTTTAAGGTAAACACACATATACATGTTTAACCCTGCAGACTAAAGAACACTGCATATTCAAAATTGATCTATTTTGGGGGCGGTTGTCCGTAAGAGTTGAATTGAAACAATTTCAGACAAGGTCAGTATATAACCATTTCCAATCTATTTACTGGTTCTGCAGTTCTCTTATAACGTCATATACTAAAGCAGCATGTTTAGGCACACTTTATCCTTCTTTGGACCACTGAAACTACTAAAACGAGGTCTTATAAATGATGCACATTCACATCTGTTGGGTGGTGGCTGGTTGGTTTGTTGCTTAACGCCGCACTCGCCAATATTCCAGCTCTATGGCGGTCTTTAAATATTCGAGTCTGGACTTGACACTCCAGTGATGAACAGCATGAGCATCGATCTACACAACTGGGATACGACGACATGTGTCAACGACGTCAGCGAGCCTGACCACCCCATTCCGTCAGCCGCCCCTTACGAGAAACATAGATTACCGAAAACCAATTCTAAGTCGGATCTTCACAGGTGTGGGGCGGTGGTGCAGACGAGTAAATGCGTGAAGAGTTCCCTCGACAAGGCGGTGGCCGGACCACCAGATTCAAACTGCTGAAATCCGGATCTTCACCAGCTAGGGTAGGAAAGGCTCGCTGATGCTTTGCAAGGAGTGTTAAGGGTCAGTAATGTAGCTCTTGCATCCAACAGTGAGGTGTGGTGAGGTGAAATTGGGTTTAACGTCGTACTTGAGAATATTTCGCTCATGTGACGACGTGCATGCGTGTGTATGTGTATGTGCGGCTGCTTGTACTAGCCCAGACCGAAGATGGTTTTATAGTGCTAGCCCATTGAGATACCATGCCGCAGTGAAGCATGAATACCCCACTCAGACACATTATACTGACTCCGAGCCGACCAGTCCTTGATGTACCCATTAATGCCGAGCGCCAGGCAGGGACCAACAAGTACCATATTTTAACGTCTTTTGGTATTTCGCGGTCGGGGATCGAAACCGCGACCTTCCGCTCTCCGGGCGGACGCTCTAACCACTACACCACGGAGGCGGTCGCATCCAACAGTGAGTGAAAAGGGCACATCCGCAAGAAATCTATCTGGGGCAGAATCTAAATATATTTCATTCAAAATGTTTGAGAAAGAGTGATTATAATCCCATCACAAAAAACGTAACATTGTTCTACACGATAATTATAAGAGGCAAAGGGACAGTATTAATGTGCCCGGATATGAACGTCATAGAAGCGGACTAGAAATATTATTATATTATTATTACAATGTTAAAAGGTTATCATTTCTCCTGGCTTCATCGGATTTTGTGAGATCAAACCCGTTATTGGCCTTCATTTGGCGAGTAACCAGTCAGGGATGCCCCAAAATATATAAGTGATAATTATGATTATGATATAACAAATGTGATATCGGATATATCAGGACCTTTTTCGAGTGAGTTATCTATCATCATAAAAACCCCAAAGAAAATTATGTCTGATATTGGATTGAGTGAAATGCACGAAACTACATGATGCGTCATTAATGAAGTTGGGTTTCGAGCTACACTCTACATCAGAGGTCTGTATTTCATAGTACAATCATGATGATTGAAATTTACTTACAGATGATGAAATTAACACTGCGGTCCTGTCTTATGACGTGCAATGTGGCATAGCCTGTTAAAGAAGAGGTTAAAACATCACAATGGCACACTTGTTTCTGAACATAGATAAGATATGAAGTAATTGTTACATGATATTTCGTCAGTGGGTGGTGGTTCAACCGCCTTTACATATATTATATTTTAAGTCATACCATGGAGCGTCGAGGTGATGTGGTTATGGCACAAGTTGATGGAAGTCATTACAGATAATTGTTGTAACATCAACAACAGTGTGATACATAGCCTGGAATCGTCAACTTAAATGAACTAAACACTTCAAGCATGTACTTGTTGAAAACGCTATTTTCGTTTTAAGCTGATACACGTTTCACAGCCATGTGTAATTAGGTTTTGGAAGATTCGTGACAAAATGTGAAATTTCATGTTATCCAAGTCTACATTAAACAGCAGTTACTAAATTTCATCATGAATTTGTGGTTTTGTAGGTATGAATATTTATCGAATAACTAGTTCTGTTATGGGAACTCAATTGAAATGTAAAACGCGATCGTCTCTGCTGAAAGAGATTTCATTGGGGCCTCAAGACAAAATGTTATGAATGGCTTGATGAAGATCAATGAGGGTACCTGTTCGCGAACAGAGACAGCGGGTCTTGCCCTTCTGGTAGAACGAAAATAAACCAGATTGTACATACCTTGCAACGTAATACCACGTGGAATTGTCTCGTCGGGGATGAATGCTGCGGTTAGGAGCTGAAAGTTAAGTGTACACTACTCATGCATTAATACAGAAAACCTTATTCGGTTGACTTTCATCCATATCGTGTACCATAAATTCAGAGAATGCGTATTCACACGTTATTGAAGGTGTTTGTGAGTTTATCCAGGTTCATGCCAAATATACTTGTGACTGAGATTGGGAGTTATGACCTAACTACCTACATGTTACGAGGACATGCACTCATTTGAAATGATGGAATGACCTCTCAATCCACCGTGACGTCCCTTGCGACAAGAAGTGAGTACTGATGAAACCCAGAATCCTCATAGGAATATTGGACGTACATTTGTGACAATGCCATGCACTTCTTGTGATGTTAGCTGTTCAGGTTCCTGTGATCTCGCCATTCTGCTGTCTGATCCTTTCAGTTCTGTTCACAGAAGAAAAAAATATGTTTGTATTGTATTGGATACAAGGATCTAATTGTTGGTGTTTATAGAAGATTACGTCAATAAAACGTAACATTAGGTCGGTAGAAAACATATTTACATTTTCAGTTAATGATGATTTAAGCACTTGGTTATTATATACTGTAAGGTTTGAAAGCTGCTAGTGTTATTTGCTGTGTAGTCCTCCACCATGGTGTCGCAATTTACCTGGGATGATGCTATGTATCATCTGTCGGAGTTGTTGCCACCGCCCTTCATGCATCTGAAACAACAACAACCCTCGCATTAAACAGATCAGTTGTTGAGCACAGTATGTGTGTGTGTACATATATGCATATGTCTATCATCAACGACAAACACATACACACACTCACGCACACACAGAGTTGGACGCACGCAAGCACACACACACTCATGCACTTACATATATAAACACAAACGCGTGCAGGCACATGCGCGCACACTCATATACAAACATGCATACATGTGCGGATTATTGGAGACTATATTTACTGTAACATGACATCATACCATGATGGTTTCTCGTTCTCTCCTTATCATCGTCAGCAGATCTGAAATAGAATACAGACCAGAGAAATTTAAAATGACGTTGATGCTTAATTGTCTCTTTACAGCTTATATTCGCAATTAAATCAGTTGAAAGTATTATATTTCTTTGCATACGTGAAACATAAATATAGTTGAGTAACAAGTATTCTGTTTTTTGTAAAACTATTCAAATTGACTGAATCATAAACGCAAAGGTCCAGTTCAATTAGTCAAACGAGACGAGGGTCCATATCCGTTAGCATAATCTAAACGTAAACTGTCTTGATTTATATTCACCTTGTGAAGTAGGCTGAGAATCTGGAATATGATCCATGTTGAGACTGGAGGCGAGACCACCAAATGTGTCGATAAGTTCCTCCATGGCTCTCTGGCCTTGAAAGGTAAGAAGGATTCTTGTGTCTTGTGTGTCATCTTCTGGAAGCTCCAGCTTCAGATTTTCATCACATTTCGTCTGCATTACATCTGTGAGAGTAATGAGCTCCTCTCGTCTTGTAGATTCAAGTGTTCTCTGGGTGTAGTCTATCGCCGATACTATTGAAGTATGGACGTCTTGTAAAGTGTCCAGTTTATCTTGAACCATTACACGAGGGGCCTGTAGACTCATTAGAATCTCCTTCATCAGTTGTCTCTGTCGATGAAGGAACCGTACAGCAACACTAGTGCAAACTGTAGCGGCATCTTCTTGCAGCTTTCTCTGAGTATTACCCAGTTCATTTTGGTGTCTCGTGACACTTTCCATTCTGCCAGTGACATCTTTCAGTTTAAGTTGTTGCTTCTGCACTTGTTCCTCCAGCTGATCCTTTGCAACGTCATAGGCCTGATTCAAATCTTCATTCTTGTGCATCTCGTGGGCCCCACGGTCACATATAAGACAGATTGCCTTCTTACACGTGTGGTCATATAGCTGCAGTTTGTTGTCAGGGTGGTCTCTGCAGTAACGGTCCTTCAGCCACTGATTCATAGGGATATTCTCGGCCTGGTTGATCTCAGTTACTCTGTGATTTCGATTCCGTGTCACCGTGTCATGGAGTTTATGGCAGTCAGAGCAGAGCTTCTCATCACATTCGTGACAGTACACTACAACTTTAGCATCATGCTTCCCTTCGATGTAGCTGCATTTCATCTCACCATCCGCGTTGACTTTATAGGCAGCTTCATTTCGTCTGACATGGTCTACTGATGTCTGCTCCATGGTGAACTCACGACCACAGGAAGGACAGTGTAGGCAGTTCTCATCTACCTGTGTAGCTTGATCAAGGCATGGCTTGCAGGCAGAATGAAGGCATGGAAGAAGACGAAGCTGACTTTCATCACAACAGGACTGAGTTGAAAACTGGCTCATTCTCTCCTCAGAACCTGATGGCAGAAAAGTAACACAACATAGGTAAAATGCAATGGACCGGATATAGGGCTAGGTATTGAAGCTTGTGTTAATATTTGAGATAACTGTTTAATTTGAAAGACAGATTGTCCCTCCACCCACTCTACCTCCATGTTGGACTTGCTCTGTATTGTCCACCCAGTCTGGAGACTGTGACCTTGCATCACCCACTAGAGCATCGTATGCCTCCTGTTTTTCTTGTAGTCTCTGTAACGGCATTTATCACATCATCTATTGATCATATGTGCTCTTTTTTTGTTTAATTTCAGAAGATGTTTCTCAGTTTCAATGTATAAACAAATCCATTCTCACCTTTTCTTCCTTCACCCATGATTAAATATTAATCACCAGAACATCAACATGTCATGATGTGACAGGTGCCAATTTGTTTCTATTTCGTATGCGCTGCAAGTGATTTCTTTCAAATACTCACCTTGTTCACGTTCTCACATTCTTCTTTACTCTGTTGTAAATCCGCATCGGTCTTGGATAATTCTGTTTTTACTGACAAGAGACAATTGCAGAAGTAATAAATCACGACTCCACCAAGCTTATTGACAGTAAATATCTCTCTCTCTCTCTCTCTCTCTCTCTCTCTCTCTCTCTCTCTCTCTCTCTCTCTCTCTCTCTCTCTCTCTCTCCTCTATGTGACAATTGTCTGCTTACGAGCTTCAACTTCATAATTGTGCTTTTCAGTCTGTGATATGTGTTCAGCTCTTTCCTTTTTAATTGTTCCCTTCAGCTCAGCGTGGGCCTTGTCTTTTTGTGAAGTCCTTCTATTTCCTGACAACAAACGTTAATGACTCGTAAACACGGTCAGTCAGTGTGTCATACGAAAAGAAATGAAAAGACGTTTTATATAGAAATAACTGCCATGGAGGGAAGTGACCACACGGAATGAATAGGGTCTGACGAACAGTTTGAAGCAACAGTCCATCCTTCCATATGCAAATATGTCACGTCACACGAGGTGTTCAGACTCTCACGAGTTAATTTGTACACCTTGTGGATTGATGTCACCTGACACACTCACCAAATTGAGACCACTAAACATGAATGACCTTCCCAGTTTGAAGTATTAAAATCTGGATATTAGTACTGATTTGTCTACTTGCCTTGTCATGTGATAAACTGACAAGGATGTTCTGCATTTTAAAAACTCACAGTGTGGAGTGCTGCTATTTGTCTATCTTTTCCATCAAGTTCCCTTTTGTGCTGAGCCTCCAGCTTGTCCTTGTTCACATAGATGAGATCTGAGTGACCTGAAATGTATGATATTCATGGCGTCCCATCATGTCGTACAATCTTGAAGACTTATAGTTACACAGGCACTGCAGCTGTCAGGAAAGGTAGTTATCACAAGTCGTCCATAAAACAAGTACGATGTTAAAGCCTAAGTGTGCACGTAGAAATTGTTTTCATATCGGAATTTAAGAATCGGGCAATATCAATGATTGAAAATATAAGCTCAATTTTGTCACACTGAAAGTAGAACACACATTAAAAGCCTTGAAATGTTATGACATCATGGGGTCTCTGCTTTCCGGGCAAAACAGGTGAGTGGTATTCCCCTTAGATTATGACGTTGCTGACTGTCTAGTCTCAAAGCATTTTCCCACAAATGAGACAACGCCTCTAAATATTGTAATATATAATTCTGGTTGCCTGCAATGTACTGCTATATACTATTTGAACTGACACGTTATTATCAGAGGACGATCTGAATACGATATTTCAACCCAAGTAAATAGCGCTGCCCTAAGTCGTTCATAAGCAAGCCCTTTGTTTACTATCTTAAGTGTTTACATATAGATATACACCTGTGTGTGAGAGTGGTGTGTGTGTGTGTTTGTGTTTCAGTCACACGAAACTTTTACACATACAAACCTTCTTCAGTTGAAGTAGCATCAAGTTGTGCCTTGATAAATGGCTGTGACCTATCAAGGGCTGCACAGAATGCCTTGTACCCTTCGACTCCTTTTTTCCTCAGAGTGTCGAGGAACACCTGACATTTCTCTCGTCCAGAGTCTCTACACCTTTCATAGTCCTCCAATGTGAAGATACGTTCCGCATACAAGACATTCAGCACATGGTCGACCTGAAGTTCCTCCTTCAGAAACACGTGATTCTTCTGCAGGATAATGGTGTGGGCCATGTCCAACCTATAATGACGTCTGTGGTTCTTTCTGGGAAGGAAAAGTGGCACATATAACACTGTACATTGTGCCATCTTCCATCTTTACTGTGTTTGTCCTTTGGGGTTGAATCAAAGCCATGCCATTAAAACTTCATAGAAGCATAATCCTGTGTTATTTAAAGACAGATCAACGTTTCATTCAGAATAAACAAAAGGTGTGATGTTGCTACAGCATTTCTGATGCTCAACAGTTGAGAATAAGTATCAAATATGTCCAATGGTGAAACAGTAGCAGAACGTCAGAGATAAAAGACATATGGCATATCAAACACGTACTTTTAAAATATGAACGTGTAAACATATAACGTTTGAAAAATGATACTGCACTTAACCACATGGTATATTCTACCCGACTAAAGGTACATTTTATAGGTAATGTTGGTCATGTATTGTGCCCCACCATGAATGAAATGCGCTGATGGAAAGCAGTCTGAGGACTTATCTTGGTACGTTTTGTGCAATATAACTAACGATTCCTTTTTACAGAACACCGTCGAGGGTGGAGCAGGAATGTGTGGTTACAGGAATGCAGTCTGATGACAATCCTGCCAAACTTCTTCGTCAAATCAAATCAGGTCGAGGTATACGATGCATCTGTTGATTGGGCTATGGTGGCATACATTTCTGTATTTGGCAAACTTTGAAACTGAAATAAGCCTGATCACACAATGCCGACAAAAACTATTATGGAGGTCGATGAGTCATGATAGCCGCAAAGGTCATGGTTAGAATTGGTCTTCAGCAACCTATGCTTGTCGTACGAGGCCACTAACGGCATCCGGTGGTCAGGATTGCTGACGTGGTTGACACATAACAACGTCTCTCCTCTCTCTCTCTCTCATCTCTCTCTCTCTCTCTCTCTCTCTCTCTCTCTCTCTGTCGTGCGTGTGTGTGGGTGGGTGGGGTGGGGGTGTTCCAATATAATAATGTTCAAACACAAGGCATTTAGAATCCGCCCGGCAGGTCGTCTGGCGCAGTGGGGATATCAAATACACATTGCCAAGTGAGCACTTGGAGTACACACTGTCAACCGAGGACTTAAAGTACATAACGCCGACTTTATTTACACACAAGTCCCAAACAATCAGCAACTATGTAATCAACTGAAGGGTCAATGCTATCGACTTAATTCAAATATATATGATCTTTGACTGATGACTATTCTTTTTTTCCAATATAATAATGTACAAACACAAGGTATTTAGAATCCGTCCTGCGGGACGTCTGGCTTCAGTCAGTACTTATTCTGAAATTGGTTTTGTACCAAATAATCAAATAAAACAGCCCACGCCATACTCAGCATTCACGTAATGTATCAGACAATACATTAAAACTTCGATACTACCAATTACTTGTGTCTTGCAGACAAAATGTCATCTAAATCCAACTTGTTTGCCTACGTCAGTCGTGAAAACACAGGCCTGAAACATTGCATCCAGCACAGGGTCCTCCTCGAGGTTCATCTTAAGAAATGTATCATTCATTTGTACGACAACATCATAGGGTATACCCTCCAGCGATTCAAGGTGCATGTGGTTACTCTTTGAAATGAAAGCGACCCACAAATAATAACAGGCATAAACGGTGTTCCACATTTATCATGTGTTTAGATCAATCACAATAATGTCGATAAGGTATCGAAACTTCAAAGATCATTTGGCCAACCTCGAACAAGTAGTGTAATGGGTGTATATGTAAGCAAAGATTCATATTCCTCTGGTCGTTTTATACTTAAGAGAGATCACCTTCAATGACATATGAAGTCTTATCTTCCTGTCCCGTTCCTTATTCGTCCCTAAATACACAAGAAAACATACAACGAACTGAGCAATTATTCCATTTTTTCGCTTAAACACTATAGCTGAAACAAACATACTTCATGAAAACAGTTCACTTGAATAGTCTCACCCAATACGCTTGACTCAGCCTTGATATGGTGGAAGAATTCAGCAGCAATAGCAAGCCAGATGTGGCCATCACCATGATCAATAGTGAAACAGTTGAGAAACGTCAGCGACAAAAGACATGCAACATATCGAACACGTCGATTCAAATTACGGTTGTAAACATGTGATAGTGCACTTAACAAGTCATATCAGACCTGACTAAAGGTTCCTTTTTGGTAAATCACTGTTGGGTGGTAAAGCATGAACATGATTGTTTTTAAAACAATCTTACTTGCGGCTCTTTGTTTAGTTTGTAAAATAGAATTCAGTATAAAGTGATTTTCGATGCTGCTGGACCTACAGTCACAAGCATTACTTTGTTGGGAAAACAATATACAATTTGCAACAGAAAACGATATCAGATGGCAGAACGATACAAGATTATCAACGTGATATGCTTGAAGGTGACTTTAAGAGATAATAAGAATAGTTTTAACTATTTCGGCCACCTATGGAATTATTGCTCAAAGATGCACTTGGATTGAGTTACTATTGTTTGTAAAGCATGCTATCAATGTCAAGATTTGGATGCCTAAAACTACAAAGAAGTCTGTTAATTGGAGCACCATGACCTGTTCAGACGCTACAAGCAGATACGTCCGAACAAAGGCGAAAAGGCTGAAGTGGGTAGCTTCAACAACTTTCTGTTTCAATAGTGTTCATTTTCACAAATGTCGCATTGTGCCGAGGTAAACATCTGCTCAAAGGCTTGTGTAGTTTTCTTTCATACTATATTTTCATCGCGTTGATCTTTGCGCGTATTTCTAGTCGCACATAGCACTACATGTCAGATCATATAATAAAGCTCACGATCGTACGGTAAACATAAAACAGATGCATCAGTACATGGAGAAACATTGGTGAACAGAGAAAGGTCCACAAGTCACATTGATAGAAACACATGAAGTGAATTTACGCAAGCCAGACCTACCTGCTTTGTGGTCGTTATCTGGTATCTAGTGACTGATTATCAGTCACGTCGAGACACCTTCAGCCACCTAACTCCGGACCACCACAGACGCTGCCCCTCAGTGTGTCTTCTGCACCTTTTCCATGAAGCAGGAATTGCTACATGTATATGATAATTCGGGGACACGCCTTCAGATATAAAAATATACATGTTACGTGATAACGAACAATACCTATATTTCCAAGGATATTGATTTATGCACGGAAAGTAAAATTGGACAATGTTATAGCTGTATGGGGTCACGCTGACCCCCACCACATGCTAACAATCAATAGTTTAATCGTTGCTGCTATGAAAGTGTATAAATGTTTACGCCCATTGCTGATCTTACGGAATACAGTGGCAGGCTAACCAGCAGGTTCACGTTACCTACTGAAATACTGTAAAACTACTGTCCCCTTGAGGGGGTATGGAAGCCCACATCATTAAAACAACATGCTATTCTTTCACCGTTTATAAACGCAGTTTATTTGTATATTCAAGATATCTAGGTAACATTGTGTACAATCACTAGCAGGTGAAGGGGTGGTGTAAATCCTGCTAGGGAAGTCCCCACTGCCCCTAGTATGGTGGCCTAACTTTGGTTGCTAGTGTTCTCTAACCCTTTTTAATACAGTGTTCCTCATTATTGATAGTTTAAATGTTTTACATACTCACACACTAGCTTTATGACAGGGATGGCAGATTTTGTAGAGTATGTTTATATTCATTCTTACTTTATGAATTTCTGTCGTCACGATGTCGCTGAAACGTCGCCAATGTGACATAAAATTTTAACTCACTCACTCACATTCCCGAACACTGGTGTGAATTGGAAATCAGCTATGTCCTGTCAAGTTGACCTTGACAATCTGCTAACGTTTTGTGTACATTGTGTCACTGAAGAGGACAAATTGAAACCCTTGCAACAGGTTTTCTGGAAGATATAAGATTCTGTCATCCTCATCTTGATAACATATTTGGCATCAGGTCAACAACACGCATAACTGGTATTCAGTTTAAAACACAGTCATCTGGTGTACAATTTCTACTAAATATCAAAGAAGGTCTCCTACTTGTCAACGACCAATACCAGTTTAGAACCATTTTGGGCCAGCCGGGTTGCCGGAACCGTCGGTGTTGTTCGCTCCAATAGGTTGGATTAATAAATCTCAATATTATGTTGAGAAGAAAATGACGAAATGTTTAGGGCATGTTATTTTTAAAACAAATCCGTTATAGCTGCGCCACTGTCACTGTACATCTGTTGCTTACAGCCTGAATGTGTATAGGTCACACTTCCTGTTATTCGGGTAAATGCACTGGACAGCATTTAACAGCAATTGTTATTACTGTGAAATATATGTTTCATATCTTATATCTTCACCGTCGCTGGCATTAAACGAACCCTTTTCATTCTCATTTGTTCTTTCTTCTGAATTTCTCTGGTACTCGGCATAAAGTACACGAAGTGCACATCGTCACACCATGAGGTATGAGGCAAGTTGGTCAAAATGATATTCATGTACAGTGGACGACCCCTATACCGACATCCCTCTAATCCGACATTCCTGTAAACCGACATATTTATTTGGTCCCTAATTGTCCCTATAATGTCACATAAGAAACACCCTATAATCCTACACCCCTTCATCCGAATTCCAATTCTCAAATCCGGTCCCAAAACATGATTTTAGTGCAAATTGTTTCTCTAAACAGACATTGTGATTTCACAAGATATTACATCAGCCAAAACATGGTGTGTATTTAGCAATCAACATACTGACCTGCCAAGGATTAACTGTTAGTAACTTGTTAATTACTCACCAACTTCTAAAGTGCCAATCAAACAGATAATTACTTGTTCAGTGGATTAATAAATTGGTGATATCACATGTTAAGTGCTTGTTATGAGTATCTAAAAACTCCCTCTAAACCGACCTTAATAGCTTGTTCACCCGTCCCGATCGAAGTCGGTTTAGAGTGAGTCCACTGTGTGTTAAGAATGGGAAGGGGGCGGGGATGTCTTAAATCTTGAATGATTTGACTGACCATTCAAATTATCTTGTTAAATTAACTTGATCTGTTTTTATACCACATAAAGTTATTACAAGTCATCCATTGATCATTTAAATTATCTTGTTGAATTAATTTATTTTTATATGTCAAATAAAGCCATTGTCATTATCCATAATCTCTCCTCTTTGAGTTTAGATTAGTACATTTGGACTAGTCTATTAATTAATGAAGATAACAGTGTAGTGAATCTCAGTGCAACCAACCATAACTTCTGTTGTTTTAACGCGTCTAACGTTTGGGACGTCTAACATTTGGGAGGACACCGCTGTGACCATTCTACTCCAACTTCTAGTAAGTCTATATCGGAATCTACTGGGTCCAGTTAGCACATTACTGACTGACTGGGCATATTCATCAACCACCTACACTCACAAACAGCAGTTGTGCAGATAGTTGTTCTTACGCGTAACGGAGCTTAAGCCACGATATATCAAATGTTAATAACAATCATAATAAGCAGTTTTTGCACAGTCGCAGTCTTACTAACACAGACACGCAGACGCAGATGCAGACGCAGACGCTTACGCAGACGCAGACGCAGACGCAGAGACAAACACAGCCACGACCAGTGAGGATCCCCGACAGCACTAGTAGCGAGTATTGGATGGACTTGGTTGATTGCGATTGTAACGCCGGTCGGAACAGGCTATTAAAGAAGAAATGGTCATGGTATTGCTTAAATGAAAAAAAAAACACCTCAAATTTTAAAATGTGCAGCGTATACTAGAATGTGTCATACCGCTCTGAACTGATAGCTCTAGCACGACGAAACCAGTTGGAATATAGACAGGCGACTCAAATATCAACTTGCTATAAATCACATGCTCATGTCGTCATCAAATCGCGCAGTGTTCCAATGTTTGTGTCACGTATGACCTGTCTAAACACATACAGGTGTTCCATGCAGGTGTCATCCTTCACGGGAACTATGCCTAATTGACTGCCCTAAGCACCAGAAAAAGGCTCCCGCCGAATGCCTTCGTATAACTTTGGCTCCCACATGGGCGGTTAGAGTTATATGTACCCAAAAAGACGTCATAAGTAAGTTATGTTTGGTCGCTGCACCCCTCCTGTTAACGACATGGCTTCACCCCTCTTGTGGTAACAACATATGCTGACATGCTGTCAACAGTGGTGGTCCGATTAACTGAAATAATCGATGATTGGTCGCAATGACTAAACGACCAAGTAATCGATCATGTTTTCTCATAATCGAACACAAACAATTTTGGAAGTTATGGAACACTTGTTTGCATTAACAATATTTTTGTGGTTGAGTGTTAAGGTTAGGTTTAGGTTCAGGTTCAGGTTCAGGTTCAGGTTAAAATTCAGATTAGGTTCAGGTTCAGGTTCAGGTTCAGGTTCAAGCTCAGATTAGGTTCAGATTAGGTTCACATTAGGTTCAGGTTAGCTTCAGGTTAGGTCCAGGTTCAAGTTCAGGTTCAGATTCAGGTTCAAGTTCAGATTAGGTTCAGGTTCAGGTTCAGGTTCAAGTTCAGATTAGGTTCAGGTTAGGTTCAGGTTCAGGTTCAGGTTCAAGCTCAGATTAGGTTCAGATTAGGTTCACATTAGGTTCAGGTTAGCTTCAGGTTAGGTCCAGGTTCAAGTTCAGGTTCAGATTCAGGTTCAAGTTCAGATTAGGTTCAGGTTCAGGTTCAGGTTCAAGTTCAGATTAGGTTCAGGTTAGGTCCAGGTTCAAGTTCAGTTTCAGATTAGGTTCAGGTTCAAGTTCAGGATCAGGTTCAGGTTCAGGTTCAGGTTCAGATTAGGTTCAGGTTAGGTTCCTGTTCAAATTCATGTATTGAGGCTAGGGTTAGGTTGAGGTCAGGTCAGGGTTACGGTGAGGGTGGGATTGAGATAAGTATTAGTATTGAGGTTTATGTCAGGGTTAGGGTTAGCTTTAGGGGTTAGGGGTTAGGGGTTAGGTGTTCGGTTTACGGATTAGGTGTTAGGGTTTAGGGTTTAGGCATTAGAGTTAAAGATTAGGGTTTAGGGTTAGAATTAAGGTTAGGGGTTAGAATCAGGGGTTAGGGGTTTAGGGTTAGGGTTAGCACCTGTATGTAGTTTTCATCTACCCCTCAACTGGGAAAAACGGTATGCACAGTTCGTACCTATTCCTTATCAAATGTAATCTTCACTCGTGTCTGCTGCAGGCTGCACATTAATATTTGTTCTCGCACAGCTCTCGTACACGATTAAGTCTGGGGCCATATGTGTGGGGTAGCTAAAGACATATACAATATATGCGAGTGGTCGTTTATCCTTGATCTGAGCAACAGTTTGCAGGCCACATACCTCATCACCAAACCCACCCCTACCCCACAAGGGTAGACTGTAGTCTAAACTATGAAATCTATTCCATCCCGATACATTTCCAGCCCAGCCCAGTTGCAAGCTTTACTCTGGCCGCTACACAACCGCCGTCAATCTGTCGGATGTATGTTTGCCGCTTGTTTGAAATTATACCTGAAAATTGGCAGGCGTAAAGACAAGTACATTTTAAGTCAAAGGAATAATTAGTTGAAAAAGAATCACCCTCTTCATTCTCGATCGCTGTCTTTCATTAACGGTAAACCACCCACGCTACGGCGTTGGCTACCTGTAATACAATCTACGTATAACACGTCACAATTTAATTCTGGACTCACAAAATTCCAGAAACTCTCCGCACTGTGGACACTTTCTGACAAGGGATTTGACCAAATCGAACATGCAGTTGTTATAAATAAATGCCCATGGGCGAGCGAGTGTAAATTGAAAGTTTTCAAATATTTTTTTTGCATTTTTTCATCCTTGGCATGTATTAATAACAACAACTTGGAAGCTGATCGTACAGACTCTGAAGATCTGATTTTCGAACATTAGACGACGGAGGTATATACAAACTGCACAGAGTCAATGAAATGTGCAGAGTAAGTCGAACAGCTATAGTTTGAAGATTCGTCGCAAGTGGGACAGTGCTATGTATGACACCCTGCCGCACCAAAATGGAAGCACCTCCTGTAGCTTTATCTCCTGTAGGAGAGAAGGAGTGGTAATCACTGTATCGTCTTTGATTAAAAATATCGATATCTTTGAGATATGTCTCTTGAAGGCATATTGCTGACGGTTGGAAATCTTGTAATAATAACTGTATCTCGTTGAAGTTATTTTTGAGTCCTCTGCAATTCCATTGCATTATCGTGGACAATTGAGTCATGGTGCCTCAATAGGGGATCTTCCTCGGGAATGCGAGGAGGAGTAGCTCCTCTGCCTGTCCTGAGAGGACAGTGTCACCTCCTTGTCCAGAGGTCCAAATGGGTTCTCTAAAGGAACCTGCATAGGTAAAGGGACAGTAGGAGGTTTGTCTTTGTTGATTTTCTTTCCTTTCTTCTTCTTAATTTTATCTATGTCTGGATTTGTGAAGCTGACGTTTCTGATGTTGTTTCGGTCTGAATGTCTGTTTGGGATCCCGAGTAGAGTGTGTAACTACCGGAGAAGATTCACGAGCTGAAACTGAAGCTGTAAGGGTAGGCTGGGTTGATTTTATCCAAGTCAAGTAAGTTTGACATGAAATGGAAGACGTTGCAACTGGGCGACTGACCGCAGCAGCATAGCTGACATTTGACGGAGGTGAGGTTTCAGTTGTTAACAGTTTTTTGGCCTCAAGGTATGAAATATGTTTTTCACATTTTAGTTTCATAATTTTAGATTCTCGTTGAAAAACAGGGCAGGATCTTGATGAAGCAGGATGTGCACCATCACAGTTAGCACACTTGTAATTTTTGTCACAGTGATCACCACAACGGTGACATACAACGGTGTTACGGCATGATTGTGACCCGTGTCCAAATTGCTGACATTTGTAACACCGGAGTGGATTGGGGATATACACATCCACTCCGATGTTAAAATAACCTGCTTTAATAGTCTGCAGGAGAGATGAACGAGAAAACGTCAATAAATAGGTGTTTGTTTTTGTAATGATTCCTTCTTTTTTAATTGTGAATCGTTTAACAGCTGACACACCCTGATCTTCTAGCTCTGCTGCAATGTCCTCCTCTCACATATCAGAGAGACAACGAGCTCTATCTCTGATAATACCACGGCAAGAGTTTAGTGTCCTGTGCACAGCCACAGCAACCTCAATATTGGCAAAGGTCTTGACTGACAAAAGATTGAGAGATTGCTGTTTCCGTGCACACTCCACAAGAAGCGAGCCACTATGGAGACGGGTAACATTTTTTACTTCTCCACAGATGCCGGAGATAGCCTAGGAAATAGCAAGGAACAATTACAAGAAATCGAGCCCAAGATACACTGTTAGAAGAAGTGTTTCCAGAACAGAGATCTAAATCTTCTAAACATCTTTTCTTTTCATTTCTAGATGGACCAGAAGCTTGAAGTGCCATGATGAAAGGAAATAGTTTCGGCACCCCTGCTCCCCACCCACCATGGAGTGTCAACAAGGACGGTGTCAATATGCACCGGATATCCAAAATGCTGACACCAGGGATACAGGGGTGGTATACGCCAGAGACAACACCACAAATAGCTGCATTTGTCTACCTATTCCATGCCCGACTGGTTCGGCCCAAGACAAGAAATTAGAGACATACATCATTTGGAGGTCATTATCACCAGATTGGCCCATGAGCCACCGCCTTCTGGCATAGGACTCTAGGCAAATATAAATAATAATATAATTTTTAAATGTAACATTCAATATCAACATTATATAAATGTACATGAATATAAATTTGAATGTTGTCCATGCACAGGGCATGGCGTGACCAGTCGATTGGTAGAACCGGGCCGGTTCTACCACCCGTCTAGGTGAAGTAAGGGCCGAAGTGGTGTGTTGGGCAAAGGGAACACGGTTCCAGGATCCTATTGCCCTCAACCACCAGACTCCCGTCCTCCACCGACACAGGGGCGCAACCCACGGCAAACAGGTTGTTGGACCAAATATCCCCCCGGGTCCACAACGGGGGGTTGAAGAGCTCTTGGCGTTACCCAGCACCCACCACGAGGAGGTGGCTCTTCACGGGTGTCCCACAGTAGATAGAATGTACAAATATGTAACCTCCATGACATCCACAGTAAATAGAATGTATGTACATGTATCCACCATGACATCCACAGTAGTGTATGTAGATGTAGAATGTAGAAAGAATGTATATATATATCTATCACCATGACATCACACAGTATATATATCCACCATGACATACAGTATATTAGCATATACATGTATCCACCATGACATCCACATATATATATATGTATCCCACCATGACATCCACAGTAGAGAGAATGTATGTATATATGTATCCACCATGACATCCACAGTAGAGAGAATGTATATATATATATGTATCCACCATGGCATCCACAGTAGAGAGAATGTATATATATGTATTCACCATGACATCCACAGTAGAGAGAATGTATGTATATGTATCCACCATGATATCCACAGTAGAGAGAATGTATATATATATATTTATATATATCCACCATGACATCCACAGTAGAGAGAATGTATGTATATGTATCCACCATGACACCCACAGTAGAGAGAATGTGTGTATATGTATCCACCATGACATCCACAGTAGAAAGAATGTATATATATATATATATATATGTATCCACCATGACACCCACAGTAGACACAATGTATGCTTCTTCGTAAGAGGTGTCTTAATGCTTAAGTGCAGGTGTGGTTGGAGTGTCATTGTACCACCGTCGACCTATGGTGGTCGTAAGAGGTGTCTTAATGCTTATGTGGTCGGGCTCGGACAGGTGTGGTTGGGGTGTCATTCTACCACCGTCGACCTATGGTGGTCGTAAGAGGTGTCCTAATGCTTTATGTGGTCGGGCTTGGACAGGTGTGGTTGGAGTGTCATCGTACCACTTTCGACTTGTGCTGGTCGTATGAGGTGTCTTGGAGGTAGCCAACGAGCATTTTCATTAACCACTCGGCTTACATTATCCATACCTTATATATTTTACAAATAGTTGTTATTATTGTCCCAGTACACCCGCCATCTAGATTATGCATCACAAACAGTGGTACAAATCTCTATAGATCACTGGTTGGTGTGGTCGAACCTTAATTATAAACATGGCGACGCCATATAGCTGGGACTCAGACAATAATCACTAATATAAAATATATATTCTGTCATATTTTTGCGTAAGTTGAATTAAAGACTTGATTACATAGAGGTAGAGCGAGTTGAATACTGTTGAATGGGTTTGAATGTGGTAAGCAGGCGGGTGCACGCCCGCCCGCTGGGTGGGTTGGTGGCTGGGTGGCTGGCTGGCTGGCTTGCTGGTTGTGGCGGCCTTTGTAGCGGCCTGTGGCTGTGGCTGTGGCTGTGGCTGCTTTTACTGATCAGGTCGGGGTTATTTACAGCTGAAAGTGCGTGGAAATTCACTTGCAAATATATCTTAAAACTGTTGGAAAGACAAATATTTGGCCCTGGCATGGCATGGCAGAGGTTTTCGCCCGAACACACACTAGAAGTGTACATAGTTTCTGGCCCGTACACACAAGCTACACGTATAAAGACGTTTAAGTTCATGCACACAAACCACCGAACGTAAAATCCTGCTGACGGTCCCGTTGCAGTTACATTTAGTATCCCAAATATACACACATTTCACAGAGACAGAAAACAATGTTAGGGCTGACGGTCCCGTTGCAGTTACATCTAGTATCCCAAATATACACACATTGGGGTACCAGTAACTGAAGTCTTGTGGTGGGGTACCACTAGCTGCAGTCTAGTGCGATGCGTACCAGAAACTGAAATCTAGTGACGGGGTACGAGTAACTGAAGTTTAGTGGTGGGGTACTGGCAACTGAAGTCTAGTGTTTGGGTACCTGTAGCTGAGGTGTAGTGGCGGGGAAACAGTAACATCAGTCTAGGGGTGGAGTACCTTTAGCTGAAGTCTAGTGGCGGGGTACAAGTAACTGAAGTTTAGTGACAGGGTACCAGTAACTGAAGTCTAGTGGCGGGTTGCCAGTAACTGAAGTCTAGTGGCGGTGTCACGGTAGCTAAAGCCTAGTGACAGAATACTAGTAGCTGATGTCTAGTGGTGGGTACCAGTAACTGAAGTCTAGTGGCGATGTACCAGTAACTGAAGTGTAATGGCGGTGTACCAGTAGCTGAGATGTAGTGGTTGGGTAACAGTAACTGAAGTCTTGTGACGGGGTACAAGTAGCTAAAGTCTAGTGGAGGGGTACAAGTAGCTAAAGCGTAGTGGTGGGGTACCAGTAGCTGAAGTCTAGTGGTTTGGTACAAGTAGCTGAAGTCTAGTGGCGGGGTACCAGTAACTGAAGTCTAGTGTTTGGGTACAAGTAGCTAAACGGCAGTGGTGGGGTACCAGTAGCTAAAGTGTAGTAATGGGGTACCAGTAGCTGAAGTGCCATGGTGGGGTACCAGTAACTGAAGTCTAGTGGTGGGCTACATGAAGCTGAAGTCTAGAGGTGGGATACTAGTAGCTGATGTCTAGTGGCGGGGTACCAGTAACTGAAGTCTAGTGGTGGAGTACCAGTAGCTGAAGTCTAGTGGTGGGGTACCAGTAACTGAAGTGTAGTGGTGGGGTACCTCTAGCTGAAGTGTAGTGGCGTTGTACAGTAGCTAAAGTGTAGTGGTGGGTTACAAGTGGCTGAAGTGTAGTTGTGAGGTACCAGTAGCTAAAGTGTAGTGGTGAGGTACCAGTAGTTGAAGTATAGTGTCGGGGTACCAGTAACTGAAGTCTTGTGACGGGGATAAGAGTAGCTGAAGTCTAGCTCGGGGTACCAGTAGCTTAAGTGTAGAGGCGGGGTACCAGTTACTGAAGGCTAGTGGCGGGGTACCAGTAGCTGAAGTCTAGTGGTGGGGTACAAGTAGCTGAACTGTAGTGGTGGGGTACCAGTAGCTGAAGTCTAGTGGCGGGGTACCAGTAACTGCAGGATATGGGTATGCTCATAATGAACCTTGGTATGGCTATGGCTACAAAAGACATCCTAGTAAAACAAGGGATACTACCTGAAAATATTATGAAGTAAATATAGGATGGCTACGATTGCCATGATGGTTGGTGGGGCGTTAGTAAATGCCCTAGCATTTTCCTGGAGTAATTTCCTCTTCTCGAAACTACGAGAGTCACACGCGGCTGAAATACAGGAAGAAAGGAAGCGGCACGATCTCGCTATTGAGAAATTACAAACAGCACAGACTGAGTACACGAAAAAACGCCTCCAGCGGATCAATTACATTAACGAACAACTCAGGCGTGAAAACCATGCCGTTCAAACATTCCACGATGTCGACGATGCAGCGAAAGAATACTACTTATTAACTGGTAAACAATGGGAACCACTGAATAAACCCACACTCGCTCAGTACTACACACCATCCAAGGGGCAAATGGACCGTGAACTGGTCTTCATAGCGCTGGGTATAGCAGCGACTGCGTTGGTTGCGAAACAATTAGACTAAATACTCATATAAGTATGCTAAACATGAGACCTGCTCCATACCGATGCGAATACATACTTATGGGTAAGAAAGAAGAAAGAGTGATAGGAGATGCAGGACTCAGGGGTACTGTTGTTTCCACATGGGAAGCCCGAACTACACATGTTCTGTGTGTGGTATCGGGATGAAAGGGCACTACTGCCTATGTAAAGCTCACGGGGCGAACGTAGTCAGACATCATCTCATCTACGAGAATAAAAAGGCCTACATAAAAGAACGTAGGCGACTTCTCAAGATAACAGTGTAAGGCTGGAGGAGTTACCTCCCTTTACTGTGGTCCAATTAGACATTAATTCTCGTAGGTGTGTACGCAATTATGACTACTGTTGGTGAACTTAAGCATATCGCCAGAAGCCGTGGTGTGATCGGGTATTCTCGAATGAGGAAGTCAGCCTTGTTGAGATTACTAGGTTTAGAAGCCCCTCCTATGGTAAAACAATTAAAAGCTCAAGCAAAACAGCTTGGGCTCACGGGTTATTCAAACCTGGGGAGAGCCGGGTTAAACGCATTGTTATCACATGCCCCCGTAGCAAAACCTCCCACTGTAAAACAATTGAAAGCTGAAGTTCGCGATTTGGGTTTAGGGGGATATTCCCATATGAGGAAACCACAGCTTGTAGAACTATTACGGCAGAATAGAGCTATTGACCTACAGTTCGTGCGCACTTAGCGCGCTGTAGGCAACTATTTGAGAGGCTGGCGCATGCATGTTGATAGGAACATAGACATCACAGATATCAAGCCTCTGATAGCTGATAAAATAAACCAGGAACTAAACAGTCTGGGAAGTATCAAGTTTCAGATCACAGTTAAAATGTCGCTCGATAAGCAAGTTGGGGGAGGGGTCACTGAGTACGTTCAGCCTTACTTCAGAGGTAGGCAAGAGGTTGTCACGCATACAGAGACCATTAACGCATCGATCAATACCAGTTTTCAGCAGATACAGGAATACCTAGAATGCTACACACACTTGGGGTGCGGGTGGGCTGTAGATAAAATCGATAATGTCTATCTAGACATAGCTAACTACGTGCCGTTCAGAGGCGGGTCATACCTAGACTTGTCCCCCTACTATAGGAAAAAACAGGCCATGGTAAACGTTAAGAATAGAGGAGACGATTGCCTGAGGGTAGCTACCAGGTCAGCCTTGTTTCCAGCTGACACTCATTCAGACAGGCTTTCTAGCTATCCTCAAGACGATGGGCTCAACTGGGATGGTATAGATGAACCAACCCCCATATCCCAGATCCTTAAAGTAGAAAAACAGAATAATCTAGCTTATAACGTCTTTGGGCACGAAGGTAACACAACAATAGTACACAGGGTCAGTCCAGTGTTGGGGGAGAAGGGTCGCCAAGTTATCAATATATTCATGATCCAACGAGGTGAAAAGTATCACTACACATGGATAAAACATCTCAGCCGGTTGTTGCACGACCAGTCGAAACACGTTGGGAAAAAACACTTTTGTGTGCGATGCCTACACGGTTTCAGCCGAGCTGATTTATTAGAATCCCACCGGGAGGATTGCCAAGGTGTGGGGCAGACAGCCATACGCGTCGACATGCCCAAGGAAGGTGACAATATACTAAAATTCGACAACCACAAGAACCAAATGTCTGTGCCTTATATCATATACGCCGACTTTGAAGCCTTGGTCAAACCTATTAAGGTTGTTGGGGATACCCCAACCACACTCAAAACACAGGAGCATGAAGCCTGTGGGTTTGGATATGTGGTCGTCCGTTGTGACGGGGAAACAAAGGCTCCTGTAGTGTACAGGGGTCCCGACGCGGCTGAAAGGTTTCTAAAGTGTTTGCAGGAGGAAGAAAAAATTATTAGGAATGCACTGTACACAATCACTCCCATGCGTATGACCCGAGCCGACCGACCAGCTCACGCCTGTAGCACTAATTGTCACGTGTGCGACTCACCACTGAATGGTGATTCGGTGAGAGATCACTGTCACGTAACCGGTAAGTATAGAGGCGCGGCTCACAGCGCCAGCGGTAACCTCAAGCTTAGAATCAACCCTAAGATAATAAACATCCCCGTTGTCTTTCACAACTTGAGAGGGTACGACTCTCATTTGATCATGCAGGCCATCGCGAAAATCGATGGTAATATAACGTGCATCCCCAACAACATGGAGAGATACATCTCCTTCAGCTTAAACGGCCTTAGGTTCATAGATTCAGTACAATTTCTATTGTCTTCATTAGACAGTCTGGTCAAGGCCAATGATACCTTCCCTATCACCGACCGATACACAGACACCGAGACTAGACCCCTGCTTATGAGGAAGGGGGTGTACCCCTATGAGTACATGGATAGTTGGGCCAAGTTCGCAGAGACCAGACTACCCCCCATCAGAGAATTTTACAGCAATCTGACAGACTCGGAAATATCCCAAGACGATTACTCGCACGCCATTAACGTATGGAATAAACTGGGTTGTAAGAACCTGGGTGATTATCACGACCTGTACTTGAGGACAGATGTACTGCTGTTAGCCGACGTGTTTGAGACGTTTAGGCGGACGTGTTTCAAGCAGTATAAACTCGACCCCGCATGGTATTACACCAGCCCAGGTCTGTCGTGGGATGCCTTGCTTAAAAAGACCGGAGTTAAGTTGGAATTGCTTACGGATTATGACATGCACCTATTCATTGAGAAAGGCTTGTGAGGCGGGATCTCAATGGCAACCAAACGATACGCGAAAGCAAATAATCAATACGTGAAGGGCTACGACCCTAGCAAGCCAACCAATCACATTCTCTACCTCGATGCCAACAACCTGTACGGCTGGGCTATGAGCCAGTATCTACCCACAGGGGGATTCGAATGGGTGCCACAGGAGGTCGATGTTATGAGCATCGCACCAGATTCAAACAAAGGTTATATCCTCGAGGTTGACTTGGAATACCCCAAGGCATTACACGCATCACACAACAGCTACCCCCTGGCCCCCGAACGTATGAGGGTTAACCCAGACTGGATGTCTGAGTACCAACATAACTTGTTAGGTGGGCGGGTGGCAGAAGTTGAAAAACTCGTGCCTAACTTAATGAATAAGACCAAGTACATAGTTCACTATCGCAACCTACAGCTGTACCTGTCGTTGGGTATGAGGCTGACCAAAATACACAGGGTGCTCATGTTCGACCAGAGCCCATGGATGGAACCCTACATCAGAATGAACACAGACCTCCGAAAGCTTGCCACCAGTGACTTTGAGAAAACCTCTATAAGCTCATGAACAACTTCGGTGTTTGGTAAGACTATGGAGAACCTGAGGAAACGTGACCGTGAAGCTGGTTCGGTCGAATGAGGAAGACAAGCTCAGGAGACTGATAGCCAGTCCGCATTCAACCGTAGCAAAATATTCACCGATGACCTAGTTGCCCTACACATGAAGAAAAGCCACATAAAATTCAACCGGCCTGTTTACGTGGGATGAGCATCCTCGATTTATCCAAACACCTGATGTACGACTTTACTACAACGAGCTTAAGAAACAGTACGATGACAGGTGTGAAGTGCTGTACACTGACACGGATTCCCTGCTGATGGAGATTCGAACCGAGGGGCGTGTAATGCGAGGACATGAAAAACACCTCGATTTGTACGACACCAGCGACTACCCCAAGGACCATGCCATACACAGCACGGTGAATAAAAAGGTCCTGGGTAAGATGAAGGACGAGTGTGCGGGCACGCCCATAGCCGAGTACATAGGGTTGAGGCCTAAGATGTACTCCATACTGAAGGCCGACAATAGTGAGATCCGGAAGGCTAAGGGTGTTAAGAAGTACGTGGTTAAACAACACATCAAACACGCCAGATTCAAGGAAGCCCTGTTCAAGACCCGTACCTTAAGACATAAAATGAACACACTTAGAAGTGATGGCCATAGGATATACGGACTGACAATAAACAAGACGTCCCTGTCGCCTATGGACACTAAACGTTGGATAGCTATTGACGGGATAAACACGTACGCGTACGGGCATGAGAAAATTGAACCAAGAACATAGGCATAAATAAATACCCTGTCGGGGCGACATGTCACGGAACCAGAGAAAGTTTGAGGGTATTTACTATAGCCCGCGTGGGTACTGGAAAGGAGCTAGCGCTGTAGATAAGCTGGCTAAAATGGCGCGAGTACCCCCGGAGGAAGCCAAAGCGTGGCTTGAAAAACAAGCCCTGTGGCAGATCTATTTGCCGCCACCACGCTACGTGCCTAGAAGGAAGTTTGGAATTTACATACCTAATAACGTTCACCAGGCAGACCTACTGTTCCTACCCCACGATAAGAGGTACAAGTATGCCTTAACCGTAGTGGACGTAGCCAGTCGCTACAAGGAAGCCGAGCCCTTGACCACGAAAGATTCTGCCCAGGTAGCCAGAGGATTTGAACGTATATACAAACGCAGTCCGCTGACGTGGCCAACAGAGCTGCAAGTTGACCCAGGGCGGGAGTTCATGGGTGCCGTGTCATACCTGTTAGACAAACACGATACAAAGGTCAGGCGTGACACGTCCGGAGCCCATCGCAGCCAAGCCATAGTTGAGAGATTCAATAGGACTTTGGCTGAGCGCTTATTCGGACATCAGTATGCTAGGGAGATGGCCACCCCTGGAAAACGATCAACTGAATGGGTATCACGGCTCCCTAAGGTGGTGTCGGCAATCAACCATGAAGTCACCCGTCTCACCGGCAAGAAACCGGCAGACGCTATAAAACTAAAATCAATAGTTGCAGAGCCGGCTGCTCCATTGCGTGGGAAGGAGAAACAGATACCAGATAGGGCCCTAGTGAGATATCTATACCAGCCTGGGGAACACGAGGGGGATAGCCGTAAGCGAGCCACCGATCCTATATGGTCAGTCAAAACTTACAACATAGATAAAGTGGACATCAAAGCAGACGAACCGAACTTGTACTACTTGAGGGATGGGCCAGGTAGGGGGTTTGTAAGAGAAGAATTATTGATCGTACCGTACGGCACAATGTTACCTCCTGTCAACACGGCATAGCCGCACGTGGAGCGATGATGCAATACCCCCGGTAGCTCAGTCGGTTAAGTGGTGCAGCTAAGAGGTGTAACATTGGGCGTTCGTATCCCGCTAGCGTCCCAAACTTTTTCATAGTAGGGGTAATGGTAGCAAGAGCTAAGGGTCCGACCAAAGCCTTATTTGGGGAATAAGGCTTTGCAGAGGCTTTTTGTTGGAACTGGTCCCGGACTATCCTTTCCTCTACTACTATGTAACTATGTATAGTAAACTTACCAACTACGTCATGTATGTTAGTGTGTACTGTAGACTAACCCACTTCGTCATGTATGTGTGTACTGTAGCATGACCCACTACGTCATGTATGTAAGTGTGTACAGTAGACTGACCCACTTTGTCATCTATGTAAGTGTTTACTATAGACTGACACACTACGTCATGTATGTAAATGTATTGTAGATTGGCCCAATATGTCATGTATGTAAGTGTGTACTGTAGACTGATCCACTACGTCATGTTAGTGTGTATGTGACTCACCCACTATGTGATGTATATGTTCCTCGGTGAAGACAATTAATTGAATGGAATAAAATTAACTAAAAGTGATAAAAAATATAATATGAAATGTGATATACTAGGATATAAAATATGGTATAACAAGAAGACAAAGTCATCAATATAATGGCAAAATACTCTTCATGAATATGTCCACTGGTGATGACTTTGTCAAATGTTTCCGTGTGTATATCAGTGAGCACGTGAATGAGTGAGTGAGCGAGTGAGGTTACTTTTATGCTCAGCAATATTCCAGCTACATGGCAGCGGTCCGTAAATAATCGAATCTGGACCAGACAATCCAGTGATCAACAGCATCAGCATCGATCTACGCAACTGGGATACAATTAGAGGTGTCGACCAAGTCACTGGCTATATTACAAATTGGAAGAGAGAACTGAAAGGTTTTTAATTTCTGCACCGTAAAAGAGCACTACCACCAATTTCAGTCGAAGTCAAACTTGTCGCCATGGATACACAAAAACATATTTTATTCAGAAATACCAAAACTACCAAAAGGCACAAGTACACCACCATACCTATCGATGTGCCAAGTTTGGTGAAGAAATATTGAACGGTTTTAAACTTAACCTCCGGGAAAGGCAAATGTGCACGGACGGACGGAAGGACGGACGGACGGAGTCCATTTAAATATTCCCGGAAACGCGTTGCGGGGAATAAGAACGGACGTTATGAGTTTGTCATACGTATAATAATGCATCCAACTGCATATTATTATTCTGACTGGGATATTTTGACATGATATAATAATGACAGACAGTCACACGGACAGACAAATGGTGTTTTATTTGTATAAAGGCTTCAAGACCCATGGTACAAAGTATGTTTGCAGCTTGTATAAGGAATGAAGTGGCAGTTACAATAACATACAGTAAGAAAATACCCGTTACAGAACAGGTTACAATTTGCAATTTCATTAACATCTGGAGATATGCGGAAACGTCTTAAGTGAACATTAATGACCATGTTTAAAGTGTCATTAGTAATTCATCCTCATTTCATGATACACGACATGCACTTCATCTTCAATAGCATCATTGTGATTGCATAGAATAACTTCATCAGTGTAAGTGGTAAAACTGCTTGCAACTAACTATATACCTCGATTATTACTGCCACCCCTAAACGTTGTTAACAACCATCTATATTGAAAATCTATGTTAAATAGAGCATATTTTATCATAGGTAAATTAGATTTGGTTTAGATATATAAATGACAATCAAATGAAATATATAGATCCTACATAGTCCCAGAAAAAACTCTTACTGAACCTCTCAACAGTTTTACTTCCGGGTCACCTACAGCTGACATAAAACTAAAGGCAGGCACATCAAAACCAAATCGATAAAGTAGAATATATTTGTCACAGGTCCGCCTAGATGTTTTGATATTTATAAACTCACATTAAAAAGAATGTCAATATCACTACTGTCCTACAAAGAACAGTACTATCTAGCTTCTCGGCGGACTGAAAAAAAATATATTTGAATCCCCTAGTTTACGTTATTCTGGCAACACCAAAACCTAATCGATAAAGCAAATTTACGACAGAATTGTTCAGGTGGGCCATTTCCCTGTCCACGGTAAACAGCAAAACCTGACAGGATTGATACCAATATTTATTCCAATGCATATTAAATAACATCAGCTGACACCTGGCATATCATACATAATGAACATCAGACATGTTATCATATACATACAATATAGAAATATAGAAAGTCAATGCATGCATTTATCAGATTAGTCAACCAGTCGACTTGACATCGCAAAGTAGTTAATACAAACAGTTCTCTAAAGCGGGATTCTGGTGATAATTTATCCCCTAGTTAAACCTTGTAATTTACTGGAGGAGTAGACAGATCGGAGTCAAACATAACGGGGTTGGACTACAGGTGATGATATCAGCTCATGTCATACTGACCAAAAATAAAGCCTGGTATATTAACATTAGAGTGGCACATCCATCTCTACACACCCCATTGTCAGAGGTAGACCCAGTGTTTCAATTAGACAGTAACTCACACACAACTTTCAATTTTATAAACACATATAAATGTACATCGGGGAAAAGCAACCCTCTGTATGGATCCAAAATCCGGTCCCAAAACAACAGAACTGATTAAAATAAAAAAACGGACAGTTTTGTAACTACATTTCTCTCCTGACACAAGTACCATGGCACATTTATACTGGGACATTATATGTCCGCTTCAATCACTTTCATTGTCTACCTGAACTGACATCAACATGTCTATCTCACAGCTACAAATATTGTGTTTTAACTTCTACCCTCTACATGTGGGTATTTAAACTATTTCCTTCATAGTGTGAAAACAAAATATGTCAACATATTCATGATTTGAAACAACTTTTTACTCAATCATCAACTCAGTTGTTAGTTGTGACATGTCCCAGAAATGTGGGAAATGTTTCATAAACTAATCAGTTATTATCTAATAATAATCATAACAATACTCCTGTGTGGATGTAAAATGCTTCTAGTACACAAATGAAAATTGCCCTGTAGAAAACCAACATATTTAGCTAACCTTGTCATATTGTTGTACACAACATACAACACATGAACAGGTAACTTCTATGTTCGCTTCTTTCAGTTCTGTTGTATTGAATTTGTCGGATAAAGTTGATGTGTGATATTTACAAGTTTACACTGGGTCATGTGTAGTTTATTTCCTAGGCCAGGACTTCATTAATGAGTGATTTCTTGATGTCAGACATGAGGATCTCCTCCCCACTGACTACATTCGTGTTTACTGTGCACTCACTGTGGGGACAGACAGAAAACACAGGGAGAAGATCCTGCTTGAACTTCACATCAACTTTCCCTAAAACAGCCGACCTGCCTACGTCAATAAATCCTATTCTACCCCTCCCGACATCCAACACAACGCCATAGTGGAGGGTGGCCTGTGTGCCGGGTGTGTCAGACATTGTGTTCCTGTAACACTTCCCCTCCTCCCCCTCCAGACTCACCCGGGTACAGAGACTCCCCCGGTGTGTGCCACAGCTCCCTACACTGACGCACCAGGAGCGGCGCTGTAGAAAAACATACAACTCACTGTCTACCTGGCTCTCCTCCCCAACACCTACCTCCAGGACAGGCCACCCCCTCACACCACCTTCCACACCCACCCTGGTGTTGGTCTCCCAGTATCGTGTTGTGTGGGGGACAGGGGTGACACTAGAGGGGGATGGAGGAAGGGGGATGGGGGTGGAGCTACACGTGCCGAACAATCTCTGTAGTCTGCCACAGTCCGTGTGTTGTGTGGCAGGCGGCGAGTTGACCAGCTCCCGTCGATCTGTAGTAACATGGCACCAGTCATTGTTGGCTCGACCAGCGTCCAGTTGGAGTTTAGGACCTGGAAATATACAATTGTTATTTTATTGAGTTTAACAACTGTATTTCCTACATTATATCATTGTATTGCTTGTCCCGTGTCGGTGATTCCAAAACAATGCACTAAATGATCGGCTGCCATTTTCGTCCGTCTGTAAATACAACGATACTCGTGCCCTAGATAATAATAATAGATAATAACGACATGATACTATCCAGATGGGTATTTAAATTGTTTGACATACATTTCTACATGCATTGGTAAACAAATAAACTCTGTCTGACGTACTTTTTACAAAATTACATTTGACTTTATTTGCTGTGACTGCAATCACAGAAAATGACACCATGACAGCTTATTACGGAAATATTGCTTCGTCACCTGAGAACCAGAGTGTTCTATCTCCACTTTTTGGAAAAAATGAGTTATGGTTTTCTGGGTACTTCTCATGGTGTATTCTATCTCCAAATAAAATTTTGTAGCTGTATCTAGCTTAGAAAGTGGTTTTCAGACAATTAACATCAGTTCTATCTCCACAAATTAAAAAGGTTTTCAGTTCCATACTGTTCTATGTCCCTAACTAATCAAAACAGTCGATTTGGTCACATGACTTGGAGATAGGACAATCTGGACCTGAACTTTCGTCGGATGTCACATGGAAATGGTGAGTATTTATCTTCACTTTTTCATTGTAACTCTTGTTTTCTCGAATGGATGAAAGTGTGCAATAAGTGATAATTAACCCTTGACATCCCAATATATTAATTTGAAATGTAACAATTGATAACTTTGGAGTAAAGGCACTATTTGAAGTTTGACATGGAGATAGAATACTCTGGTTCTAAGAGTATGTCATGTTTTCCTACTATGTTTGTTGGACATCGAACGTTTTTCATTATCTCATATTTTTCATCTTTTCAGTGTTCCTGATGCAGTGAAATGTTACCAAGGTTACCTGAGGAAATCATCATTGACATTCTAAGCTATGTACCTTTCAAAGAACTAAAAGAATGTGCCAATATCTGTATCATCTTATCCTGAATTCACAAAAGATTTGGAACGACAAAGAATTCTATGGCCTGAAATTAACATTTAAACAGCTGCATGGTCTCCTCTCACGGTCCCATTACTTTTGGTATTTACAGATAACTATTACGTAACTTATTATATTTTCATAACAGGATTTCTTCAAGCTGACAAACTATGATGGTTAAACATAAGAGAGATGAACGTTTCTACTCTTGGATTTCTACTCTAGGAGTTTGCCCAACCTTGAACTGTTAAATGATGAACACTGCAAATATCTATGTGATGAAGATTTTATCATCATCAAAGCATGTGAAAACCTGGAACATCTGAATATGAGCTTCACTTATGTCAGTCCGAACACATCATCAGAAATATTTCATAAGACAAAGAGTTGTTTCAATTTGGAAGCATTTGGAGTCAAATTCAATTTGGATAACTGCATTGAATTGTTCAGCATTGCTAATTTCTGTTTCATGGCATTGTTTAGCCTGAGTCTGGACGATTCCTTCAGTGAAGCGGACTTTAATTACTATGTTGAACAGGAATTTGTTAATTGCCAATACAGAATAAAAAACTGAGTCATGTCTGAAATTCTTGAACTGGATCAAGTTCTAGCGTTGGTAATAGAAAATGAAGTTCATGATTCTGATGATAATGAAAATGTTTATAAGGTAGAACCGGTCATTAATATGGGCAATGATGGCAATGCAGTGTCTTCTGATCAGACCAAGAATGAATGTAATCCATCAATCCAAACAACAGAAATTCACGTTTCTCAAATTGTTGAAGTTTCGGCTCCACACATAAATGAATCAAATCCTGCAGATCATGAAGAGTTGATTGAGCCCTCAAGATCCCGACAACGTTTTACTTGTCTTAGAGCGAATATATCAAGCTTCTTTTAGTGTTGTTTTGAAAATAAAGGTATTTTCCTAATCATTTGTCTTATTTCTGTTCTTTTAAATAAGAAAATTCAAAATATTAAGATATATACGTACATTTTCGGTATTTTATGGATATAGGACACTTTGGAACTGAACAAAACAGCGTTTGTTATTAGATATTTGTTCTATCTCCAAATACCTTTTTTCATATTTATAGGTTAAATCTAAATTTTGGATCATTAAAACATGGTTCTATAGTTTCACAATCACAACATGCACCTACATGCAAAGTTACAAACAGTTTCCTTGGGAAATATTCATTTTACACATACTTCAATCTTTGGGACTCCGTATCTCGAAACCATGTTTTGGTGAGATAGAACACTTTGGTTCTCAGGCGACGATTGGATAATGAAATTTCCAATTTCATTAATGTCACAGATCGGCCTAGGTGTTAATGTACCTGGATAGAACAACGGCTTGGATCACATTGGAGACACACAGTACTTGTGCTACCTGAATGTATGCAGAATGCATAAAGCATAACAATTGTCCGCGCCACCATACATGTCTAACTGAATAGTAAAAGGGCTTGGGTATCCGTGTCGATCCGGGTTAGAATTGATCTTCAGTAAGAGGCGACTTACGGGATCAGCCTCGCTGACTTGGTGGACACATGCCATTGTATCTCATTTGCCTCAATTGATTTTCATGCTGTTGAACACTGGTCCAGAATTGATTATTTACAGACGGCGGTCAAATAGCTGGAATATTGCTGAGTGCGGCATTAAAGAAAAAAATAATAAAAATACAACAGCTTGGGTCTCACTGGAGTTTAATGCGTTCCATGCATTCAGATCTCTTCTAAATTTACTTAACCTGCGTCTATAGTAATACGGTAGTTGTAACAAATATGGTTCTGAAAATAGTGAATGCTTATACCTTATACAGTAATAACCCTTCGATGAGTCAACAGCAGAGCGACACCATAGCTGCTTAAACTAATCAATGACTGACTGACTGACTGAGTTTAGTTTTACGCCGCTTTTAGCAATATTCCAGCAATATCACGGCGGGGGGACACCAGGAATGGGCTTAACACATTGTGCCCATGTGGGGAATCGAACCCGGGTCTTCGGCGTGACGAGCCAACGCTTTAACCACTAGGCTACCCCACCGCCCCACTGATCAATGAGAATGAATGGTACAGTATAGGAGCTAACGTAGCTGGACATGTTATTGTCAAGAAGACATGATTAGTTGGGATCATATTCATATGTTTTAGTAGTTGAAGTATACATTGTTATGCAATTAGCTGAATAAATTTTGCTTGAATATGGTACAATTGTAATTGTCTTTATACATTTATTATTATGGTGGAATAGTCTACCTGATGGAGGGGAGTGAGCTAGTAATTAAAAAAGCATATGACTGGAACAGATTGCCTATTGGACGGGTAGTCAAATTGGGGGTAGTCTAAATAGGAGTGAACGTTCCTTAACTTAAGCATGTACATTTGCAGCAGCGTTCCATCTTCATCTTGGCGGTGTGATAATTGTGAAGTCAGCCTATCAGTTGCTGATGACACGAACTACAAATAAGACCCCTGTTGATGTTTTATATGCTGTGGTCCCGTCAGATGAACAATACTGACATGCCTAGAATTCGCCACAAAAAAACAAACTGCATAGAAGAATAGAATTTACTTACAGGTAATGAATCTAGAACCTCTTTTCCCGCTGATGATGTGCATCATGCCTGAATACCCTGAAACATAGTTTCCATGGTAACACATGGCTTTGTTTCTGTAGACTGATATCACAATGTAAAGTATTAGCGAGTCAGTGACTTTTGATTATCGTCGCTTTAAACATTGTTGGGTTAGGATCACAGGAATATGACACATCTAAGGGGCGCAAATCTACTCAAGCAGCGGAGGTGCTGTAGTCGACATTGGCAACACATGTCAAAACAGAAAATTAGGAAACACAAAATTAAGTGAACTGCACAGCTCATATTGTCTTTTACAGTGCAGTGAACTACATTTACTGTTTTAATCAATGTTTTCAAGTCTGTTCCTTTTCAGATTATCTCACACGCCAGAAGGGAGACGCCAGAGATGTTAAATTGTTCCATGTATTCCGAATAACACAACAGTCATTCTGAGTCCTTGCTACACTGTTACATGTCAGAGTACGCTTTTAGCTGCGTGATAACCAACGTGATAAAGCGTGATAATTCCAAAGTCGAAATAATTCCAATTAAACATAACAGTTATAGAGCATATGTTATCTGTCAATGGAATTAACTGAGGACATTTTACGAAACTTCTGAAAATGTTAGTAGCTGTAACTTTCACTTCGAGAAGATTCGAACAACTAAACAATAACTCCCCATGTACAAACCTTTCAGGTATAGACCACGCTCAGGTGACTCTGAAGGGATGAATGCTCCGATCATGAACTGAAAATCAACGATGAAAGATCGTCACATTGTATATGCATAAATCTAAATGGAAAAGAAGACTTTGAACTGAATCCCACTTCATTTATAATATGGAGCTTATATTCTGATTTAGGCACATTTGTATGACATTCAGCGTACATGTTTAGCAGCTTCAAAAACGTCCTCTGATGTCAGCGATTCAGGTGCGACTTCCTGTGATGCCAGCTGTTCAGATGCGACTTCATGTGATGTCATCTGTTCAGATGCGACTTCATGTGACGCCAGCAGTTCAGGTCGGAGTCTGTGTGATCCAGATATCGGGGGGACGGTTCCTGCTGAAAAAAATATTTGAACTGATTTTCAAAACTTACAGTCAATAACGTCTCATTAATTCTTATTTTTATATCAACGACTGCTCTGATATTTCAAATGGAAGTAGAAAGATAATGTGGTTCATTCGACATTTGATCTGTTTTTCCCGACCTTTATCCATTAATTATCTTGTACCTGTGATGTGATGAATGATCTCCCCAAGCTGACGCCACCGCCCTTCATGTACCTGAAACAACGACACTTACATAATAAATATCAGAATATAACCTTCGACTTACACAGTAGCTGTGTATATTAAATGTATCTCACAATACAAGTCATAAATGTGTTCAGTGTTAAGAGCCTTTAAAACACTTTCTCAGTAACCATTTTCATCAGTGTCTTAGATATACATGTGTATTCTTTTTACAAAAGCAGTACATTACCTTCCTGGTGTCTTCCTCTTTTACGGTCAATTGCATATTCCATTTTTTGGAGATCTGAAGAGACGAAAACAAACACTGGTTGATTAGAATTTCGTCAAGTCATATAATACATCATACCATTTGATGAAAGCCACAGGGTGTGGTTTCAAATAATGTCATCATTGTGTGCTACACACGATACACACATATTGTTGCAGAGGCTAAAGGGCACCACAATAGAATAGATTTGAAGAGATTATCATTACAAATGGAACATGAAATTTTTAGAGTAAAATTAATATTTTTATACTTATCCTGACTCATGTTTATTTGCTTGTCTTCTTCTTCTGGCGAACCTAGTGGAACACTTGTATCTCCCAATTGAAGCTCCCTTCAATAAAGAATCACTCATTAGTACTCACCCCGAGTTATCTCCCTTTCCGTGAGCGCGGGAAGGAGGGCGCCACCTAAGCCCATGTGCCTCACTCTCTCCTTATTTGGTTTGAGCCCAACACTTTATTTTCCCGAAGAAATCCAAAGTGTTAAGTGGGGAGGACGGGAGGGCTTACCTCATGAGTCAGGATAAGTATAAAAATATTAATTTAACTCTAAAAAATTCATATTTTTTTCTTATCCTGACTCATGTTTATTTGCTTGTAGAATCCTACGGAATAGGAGGTGGGATGATATATACTTTGGATTTTACTAATTAGTGATTTGAACTGAGATGATTGTAATAACCCTAAGGGAACTTCATGAAGGCACTGAACTGAATTCCTGATGTTAAATTAACAGCTGCCTTTAAATAGGTTATTACAATTTTACTGAATATAATAAAAGTATATAGAACAGTAATTAAGCTAAAGCTATTAATGTGGTAGTATAAACTGTAACTAGTTTATATGAATACTTTTATACGAACCAAAGTAGTAAGCTTACAATATGCAAATATATAAGCTATAACATAACTGTGCCTAAGGTATGATGATAACTTAAGCTGTATAATAGTAATCAACTATTGAGAGTTTGTTAACTAATACATGTTATAAAATGAACATATGATAGAGCTTAAGGAATAACCTAAGCTGAACATATATATAATAGTATGACTCGTAAGAGTTGTAGGTATATATATATTATGATATAGAATCATAGTACTGAACTTAAGATAACATTTTAACTTAAGCAAATATATATATAGATAGCATAAAGCTATTAATACTGTTATAGATAAGTATAAAATCAGCAAGATAGACTTATCTTCTCCGTGGAACTGTCAACTGTTGAGCGAGGACCATGGGACCGAAATGGTGGATACCTGAGACGTCCTTGGTGGTGATATCTCTCAGATAATGGTTTGCAAACACCATCTCGGACCTCCAAAAAACATCCCTCCATAATGGTATTTAATGAACAATTTCCATGTAAAGCCAAAGTTGAGGCTAGTGCTCTAATTTCGTGGGGATTAGCAGCACTTGGAGGGTTCAGTCCAGCTGCCTTGTAGGCTCTTAGTATGACAGTTCTGATCCAAATAGAAATGGTAGTGCGCGACACTTCTGTCTGTGAAGCGGTAGATATAGGGATAAACAATCTTTTTTGAATTTCCCTCTACTTTGCTTGGATCTTTGGAGATATATTTTCAGTGCACGTACAGGGCAAAGTGATAAGTCCATCGTATCCTGCGGCCCAAGTATGGATGAGAGAGCTGGGACATGGAACAACCTGTCTGGTTGACCTGGTAGTTGATTTTTCGCTATAAAATCCCAGCGAAGTCCCAGATGAGCGATGTTGTGAATATCATCAAATCGTGTTCTCTCGTAATCCAAAGCGTGTATTTCCGACATTCTGGCGGCAGTGGCTAACGCTAGCAGGAATAAGGATTTGTGGGTCAATGATTCGTATGACGCAGATAACAACGGTTCGTAAGCCTCACTTGTGAGGTGTTGAAGTACCACATTCAAATCCCAGGCTGGCGCTTGAAATTTCCGTTTCTGATCTTCCAAACGGAAGGCACGTAGCAAGGCGAGTAACTCCGGTGTTTTGGTCAGTTTGACGCCTGTTCTCATAGTAATGACTGAGCTTATGGCTGCAAGATAAGTGGATAATGTAGATCCTTTGAGATTCTTAGTTTGCCGTAAGAAACATAAGAAATCTGCCATGATCCTATTTCCATGATTATCTGATTGAATATCTCTGTGTGGAGCATCCATTCTGTCGGCGATGGTTGGTGTGGCCGAGAGAGAGCGTCTGCTAATACATTCTTTGCTCCTGGAATGTGGCAGGCTTTGATACGTATGTTTAGACTGTCGACTAGATCGAACAGTTTGAAACATCGAGTGAGTAGATTTAGTGATCTTGTTGACCCTTGTTTGTTCACATAGAACGCCACTGTGGAGTTGTCTGTATGAATCCTTAACTGAGCGTTCTGTAATAGGTTGCTCCAGTGATTTATGGCGTTTATGACTGCTTGCATCTCTAGCAGATTTATGTGACATAAGCTCTCTTGAATGCTCCATAGGCCTGACGCTGTCCTGCCGGAAAGGTGGGCTCCCCAACCTTTTAGTGACGCATCCACGTAAAGATGTGTTTTCGATTCCGGCTCTAGTAAGGAGACGCCTGCGCAGACATTCAATCTCTTGGTCCACCAGAGTAGATGTGGTTTGACGTAATCTGGTAGACTGAACGGTAGAGAGTCCTCGAGATGGGCATTGATGAGGACTTGTAATGGACGCAATTGGAGCCTGCCTCTGAGTGTCAAGTCTTGAGCCGATGTGAGTAGTCCCAGTAGACTCTGCCACTGTCGTAGTGGTAACGGAGAGAGTAGGGCTTGGGGGATCAGTTGTTGTATCTTGATCCATCTGTCCTCCGGGACTATCATACGGTTCTAAGCTGTAAGGAATCGTATACCTAGAAACTGCAGATCCTGCGTTGGCTCTAGGTCCGACTTGGGTAGATTTACTAACCAGCCTAACTGTGTTAGTAGATTGATTGTAAAGTTCAGCTGTAGTCTGAGACGCTGTGGATGTGGATCCACCTGTATGCCGTCGTCTAGGTAAAATGCGCTTCGCAGGCCTTGACGATGTAGATATGAGACCATAGGCTTGGTTATTCTTGTGAATATCCATGGGGCCGAAGTGATTCCAAAGGGAAGTACTTTCCATTGGTAGTGTATGCCGTCTAGCATGAATCTCAGATATTTCCTTGAACTGGGATGAATCGGAATGTGTAGGTATGCGTCCTACTTACCATGTAATCTAGTGGACGAATTAGATGACGAAGTTGAGGTAAATGTATCATGCGAAACGCTGGCGGTTTGCATAGAAATTCTCTGTTGAAAGTGCTCATGTTGTAAATGAGACGATACTTCTCTTTGGAATTCTTTTTCGGTACTAGGAAAACCGGGGAGTAGAAACCTGGTATGATGTTTTGCTGATCGAGAACTTCTAAGGCCTGTTTGTTTAGTAGAGACTGTACTGTTTCTCTTAACATCGGTAGTAGTGCCATATGAACGTTGAACCCTGGAGGGTTCACTGTTAACGGTGGCCTGGCCTTGAGTTGTAGACGATATCCGTACCGAAGGATGTTGGATACATACGGGTCTTGAAGTATTCCCCAGTTTTCCCAGTGAAGTTGTAGTCGTCCACCCACTTGAGACGGTTGTACTGGGACGACTGGGGGTGGAAGACTCCAGTCGTTCCGAACCTGATTTTCATCGTTTAGATCCACGGGTACCTCTAGATGATCTGCCTCTAGCTGATCCTCCTCTGAACTTGTTGTAGGGGCGACGAAAAGAATCCTTGGGATTATTAGCGGCCGCCGCTAATTTCTTCTCCCGTGCTCTCTGTAGCCCTGAGAATTTAGCCTTACCCGAGTACCTCTGTGCTGAATGTTTGAAGACGTTGGCTAACGTATCCATAGATCTAATCATGAGTACTTCTCTAGAATCGTTAGATACTTCCTTGGAGACCTTGTTAATGTTGCCACCAAACAGTAAGGGTGAAGACCATGGAGCTGTGTACAGGGGCTCTGTAAATTGATTATTCCAAGAGCATGAGGCTAGTAATCCTTGCCGACGAGCCATGGTAGTAGTTTCAGTAAGAGCTGAAAGATGGTCTGTAAAGAATTGTTGATCTTTCTTCTGCATAAGTAGAGCTGAATAGATCATTCTGTCCTCCTCATCCGTAGAGTTCTTGAACTTAGTGATGAGAGTTTCGTTAATAGTCCTCGATCTATTAAGTCCGAAGAACATTCTTCTGGCAATGGTATCTAATTGGCCCATCTTGCGATCGTCAATCCTATAACTTCTAGACTTGGAATCACTGATAATCTTGAAGTTTTCATCGATCTCCTGAGTCTTGAAAAAAGGCTCCATATTATGTCCATAGAATTGCTTGGCATTGAAGATCGGTAAGTGAGGAAGATGGGATTTAGTAGATTTGGAGAAAGTTGTATCCAATTTAGCAGGAACGGCTGCGATAGGATCCACATGCACGAACGTCTTCTAGGCGTTGTAGAGCCACTTAGCCTGCGCGTCTTGCGCGAATGTCTGGAGTCAGTGTCCGATCCGACATATGAGTGTTTGCTTTGCGATCGCCCTTCGTACATGACAAGGTGCGTGCTAGGCGAAACACTCCTTCTCCGCGAAGCCTCTTGCAAAGGGTCAGACTCTAGCTCCTTGTCGGAGGCGGCCTGGGGTACCTTATGCAAAGAGCTCACTCCGGGCAGGGTTGCCCTTCGTGGAGGCGCGTCTATGGGCACAGGGGCCCTACGCGAAGTGAAGGCGGGCTCTGGGGCCCTGTATGACTTAGTATGGGGTGGGCTCTGGGGCTCTGGGGCCCGTGGCTCTGAGGCCTCTGTAAGCCGTAGCGGTCTTCCATCATTCTCATAATGTACCTTATGCAAAGAGCTCACTCCGGGCAGGGTTGCCCTTCGCGGAGGCGCGTCTCTGGGCACAGGGGCCCTACGCGAAGTGAAGGCGGGCTCTGGGGCCCTGTATGACTTAGTATGGGGTGGGCTCTGGGGCTCTGGGGCTCGTGGCTCTGAGGCCTCTGTAAGCCGTAGCGGTCTTCCATCATTCTCATAATGTACCTTATGCAAAGAGCTCACTCCGGGCAGGGTTGCCCTTCGCGGAGGCGCGTCTGTGGGCACAGGGGCCCTACGCGAAGTGAAGGCGGGCTCTGGGGCCCTGTATGACTTAGTATGGGGTGGGCTCTGGGGCTCTGGGGCCCGTGGCTCTGAGGCCTCTGTAAGCCGTAGCGGTCTTCCATCATTCTCATAATGTGGTTGATCAAGTCATCTGGGACGCTCTACGTTGATGAGGGATGTCTCTCTGCAGAGGTGACGGGACCCTCAGATGAATGTATAGGTGATAGCGTTGGCATCTCCGGTTGTGTGTCCGTCTGCGCAGAGGTGATAGTTGCAGAAACGGGCCGTTTCTTGTGACGAACTTCTGGAATGATAATAGGCATATCATCATCATATAATGCTAATTCTGTAACTGGTAAGATATCAGAGGCAAATTTATTAGATTTAGTTGACTTCCCTTTAGATGACGGTGTAGATCTTGGAGTACGTAGAGTACGAGATGATATGGCTGGTTTCCTCGATTTGGACTGAAACGACGGCAGCTCTTGAGATGCAGGTCGCTTTTTGGACATAGCGGACTGCGTCCCACGCTTATCCTCCGAGGGAAACTCAGGCATGTCACCAGCCGGTGACGAGTCCTCAGTCAACAGTTGACATGAAACATTAATTTGCGATCTATTAGCCATGTTTGAATTCTGTTTACGAGATTTATCTGTCTTCCGTCTGTAAACGGAACATAAATATTTGTCAAAGGCAGAGATAGGTAAATTGCTACACAATTTACAACGAGAATCGAAGGAACATGGAGTAATGCAGCTAGGGCATTTTAAATGAGGATCGGTATCAGAGTAACGTAGTTTACATTCTGTGCAAATTTTCATCAATGTAGCCTACTGAACAATCACGGCAAAGCGTGAATAAAACAGCAAAAAAACACAATTAATAATCAATGCAAATTGAATAAATATACTAGTACTACCTCTATACTAACGTATAAGAGGAACTTAACTAGATTTAAATAAAGGATATGTGTGTTGGGAGACACAGGTGCTCTCACGTCCAGCTCACTGGGCGAAGAAGGAGAGAGAGTGAGGCACATGGGCTTAGGTGGCGCCCTCCTTCCCGCGCTCACGGAAAGGGAGATAACTCGGGGTGAGTACTAATGAGTGATTCTTTATTGAAGGGAGCTTCAATTGGGAGATACAAGTGTTCCACTAGGTTCGCCAGAAGAAGAAGAAGACAAGCAAATAAACATGAGTCAGGATAAGAAAAAAATTATAAGATTCAAATAAAATTGAACTCATACGAGGAATATGATAAATGTTTTCGATTTTCAGTTATGTTTTATCTGTGTACAATGAACCCTTAGCAGAACTTTTAGAAGAGACTTCTTAAGATTAGGAAAAGTGTTTTGTGTGTTACAATAGGTATAGTTACCTGTAAAGTAGGTTGTTTATCTGGTACGTCATCCACACTGAGACTGGAGGCAAGTCCACCAAATGTGTCGATAAGTTCCTCCAGAGCTCTCTGGCCTTGAAAGGTAAGAAGGATTCTCGTGGCTCGTGTGTCATCTTCTGGAAGCTTCATCTTCAGATTTTCATCACATTTCGTCTGCAGTACATCTGTGAGAGTAATGAGTTCCTCTCGTCTTGTAGATTCAAGTGTTCTCTGGGTGTAGTCTATCGCCGATACTATTGAAGTATGGACGTCATGTAAAATGTGAAGTTTCTCTTGAACCATTTCGTTTGGGGATTGTAGACTCACTTGAATTTCCTCCATGAGTTGTCTCTGTCGATGAAGGAACCTTGCAACAACACCTTTGCAAACTGCCGTGATGTCCTCTTTCAGCTTCCTTTGCGTCTCTGCCAGTTCATTTTGGTGACTGGTGACACTTCCCATCCTGTCAGTGACATCTTTCAGTTTATGCTGCTGCTTCTGTACTTGCTGCTCCAGCTGACCCTTTGCCACGTCATAGGCCTGATTCAAGTCTTCATTCTGGTGATCCTTGTGGGCCCCATGCACACATATAAGACAGACAGCTTTCTTACACGTGTGGTCATACAGCTCCAACGTTCGGTTAGGGTGATCTCTGCAAGTACGTTCCCTTAGCCACTGCTTCATGGAGATATTCTCTGCCTGGTTGATGTCACTCGCTCTATGATTTCGATTTGGTTTCAATTTGTCATGCATTTTATGACAGTCGGAACAGAGGCGTACATTACATTCGTGACAGAACATCACAGCCGGTGTAGAATGATCTTCTTCGGTGTAGTTGCATTTCTTCCCTTTGTCAACATTTTCAGAGTAGGCAGCTTCATTTCGTCTGACATGATCTACTGTTGTCTGTTCCATGGTGACCTTACGGCCACAGGTAGGACAGTGGATGCATTCCTCTTCCATCCCTGTCTGTGCAGCTTGGTGATCAAGGCATGGCTTGCAGGCAGAATGAAGGCATGGAAGAAGACGAAGCTGACTCTCATCACAACAGGACTCAGTCGAAAACTGGCACACTGTCTCAGTGGAACCTAACAGCATAAAAATAACACAAAATCTAGTTAGACACTCACAATTTTGTTGTAATTAATGTTATGGTCTGGCTCACTTTTCGTGACGGTGTTTACTCACCTTACTCAAGAACTACAAGTACATTGATTGAATGATGGATTATTGGCCTACCATAGTGAATTTTGAATTATGAGTTGAGGATGTTCGCTGGTCACGTTTTGAACTTCTGCGCAACTCAAACAGACGTATTCAGCAAAGATTAACGACAACCAAAATAAATAATACTCACTAATAATTTTATTCTGATTGAGTCTATAGGTGTAATTATGGACTCTCTACATCGCATTAAATATAATAAACACAAATCGAAATCTAATGGTTATGTCACGACTGCTGCAAAGCAAAATATCACTTCCGGTAGCGTTGTTTGTAAATAGCGACGACCGTAGCCTGGTAGTGATGGCACGCTTGAAACATGGTTTCAAATCAAAGAAGCAAAGGCACCGTCTTGAGGAAATATCCAAGCGACAGAAAGACAGATGGAGGGTGAAGGAAACGTGTGCTTCCGTGAAAGTAGATCACGACTATTGTGCGAGTTTTTTTAAACCTGGACTCAACTTCTGTCACACGGAGGAAACCGTGCGTTGCGATTCATGGAGAGAGGGGAGGCGTGTTGTGGAGTTGGGTGCACTCGCTGAAGGACTGTCAGCCTGCAAGACGTGTTCATTACCCCTTGTCCTTAACAACTGCCTGGAAGTAACATCACAGGCGTTGGGTTCAACACTGAAGATACTTTGATCCGCGTGTAGGTCGACTAACTATGTCAACACAGACAAGAAACAGAACCGGGTGTTCGACATGAACAAGTAACTTGCTGCAGGTATGATTCAATGAAATTTATCATTGTGATTTTGCTATATATGTTTATATGATTTCTAATGAATCGTTTCAGAAGAGAAGTCTATTCAAATTCAATAAATTATACGCCACAATTTATCTGTCAAAACATGGTCAGACGGCATCTATTTTAGAACAGAATTCGGCCTACCTTTAGAATACAGCACCACAAACTTTAAAAATACGTCATAATACCCTTTTACGTAATGTAATGTGATTTTGTTCGAAAGCACGTTCTCGATACAATGCCCTATGACGCCTGCATGGCAACACGGTTGTCTGGCTCAGCGAGTGCGTATAAGCTCCGCTCACTGGTGTTTCATCTCTACGAGCTATGTCATATCATAAGCCCAACGATGTTGAGAGTTTCCAGTAGTTGTATACCGGCGGATGCGCAATATTTTGCAAGCACCAGTTTGAAATATTTTTCTTTTTTCACTAATACGCTCATATTTATTTGTATTACGGGCTGCTGAGGTGTTATGTTTTGTGTATTTTGTATTTTGTAATTTTTTTTAAATTTCCATATATATTTTTGTCATTCAGTAATTTGCACCATTACATAGAAAAGTGTTTTATTAGTATTTTATTTTTCGAAGCGGTAATAATGCATTACACTAGACACGTCAGTCGTGTTTGTGCCGGTTCGGTCAATGCATTCTATTTATTCGGATTAATTCAAGGGATTGGGGTTAGGGTTAGGGTTAGGGTTTAGGGTTAGGGTTAGGGTTAGGGACCTAATCCAATATAGCAGGTACATGTCCGGTGTAATACGTGAGTACCATTGTTGTTTTTCCTTTTTGCATTTTAATACTTTTTTTTCACACAAAAACGGGAAACCAAAAACGTTGAAAGTACACTATGAAATGGGTTAATGTTGAAATTTTGGGCTAATGGAAATTGGCCTGGAATTTGCACTCAAGCCTCTTTCACACGCAACATAAAATTTTGTTCAGTAATCATTCGAAGGCTAACTCACCCTCGTGTCGTCACTACACATGCTCATGTCTCCATCGTTCCTTAGTGCGATCCACATTATCCTTACAGTGTTCCCTACATCACTTTTCTGTCACAAAATCACCGATTTATATAAATGCGCGTCATTCATGCAAGCACCGTGAAATCTACGTCTGACGCCTGACGTCAACAACCCTTTTCAGTTTGAGGCATATCGGCTCATTCCACGCCACACGTTAATTTGTAGATTACGGAATGGGACGAGTGTGCCAAATGGCATCGGATCCATTCGGCAATTGTCCCGAGAATAAAATCACGAGACACCAAGTCTACCCGTAACCTTCGTAATTGTCCGTGACCTATTCGACTCTTTCCGTTCATTTCCGTGACGTCACAGGAATGACTCGATAAATTTGCACATTGTGCAACAGTGTGGACGTAGCTCAGTCGGTTAGCTGTCGAGCTAACAATCCGAAGGTCGCGGGTTCGCGTCCGACGGGTTCTCACAAACTGGTTGCTTGTCTTAATGACATGTGACCTACGGCAGAGATCGTCCTCACGAGAAGTTGTGGTGCTGTATTCTAAAGGTGCTCCCCATTTATTAATAATTGATAATCCTCCTCTACAGGTTAACAATGACTCTTGGACTGTCACCTGGGACCTATACCAGACAGCATTTCACACTGAAAGATCTTCAGCATCGCAAACGAAAGGCTATTGCATCAACAATTAAAGCTAAACAGCGTAGATTACATCTCAAGGTTATGAGGTATGTCAGCTTTTTAACTCTGACCTTTAGTAGAAAATTATTTCTGGTGTCCCCTGCCGTGATATTGCCGGAATATTGGTAAAAGCGGCGTAAGCTCATACTCACTCACTCTAGTAGAAAATTATATATCATATTCTACCATGATAGAGAAGGATACAAGAACTTGGTCAGTCTTGAAAGACATTGTTAATGATGTAATGCTCTGAGGCCCTATATTCCGTAATGAAGAACGAAGTAGTCTACAGATATGTAACCATCATACTCATTGGGCTATTGACCCACATAATAGTTTTTATAAATCTGTTTCAGAAGTCAGAAGCGAACAGTTCAAGAAGTCAGAGAAGGTACGACATACTCTGCCATGGTTGACATGTCTGAGGACACTGACACTGATGACCTTGTTAGTATTCCTCCACCACTTCCTGTACCTGTCCAGAAGCCTCTTCACCTCAACAACACCACAGCGATATTCTTTGATCTTGAAACTACTGGCTTAGGTATGTAAAAATATAAGTGAAATGGAAATAGAGATTATCACACGAATCAGGTTTGGGATGGTAAATACCCAGCATTAGGAATAAATACTATTTACCATCCCAAAATACACTTGTGCGATAACATCTTTATTGTACCATGTCGTTCTTCTTTTCTATTACCACTAAATGGCCTGCAACATTATGTAGCTGATAGAAAATGCCCTGAAATGTGCACATTAATGCATTTCAGAGAAACACAGGTGAATGATAGATTATAGAAGCAGGAACTCATTTGGAGATATTACGAATGTTTTTAAATTTTGATAGATGCTATGTTTTACCATGTTTAATCATTTTGATACACTTGCTTGGCGTTTCAAATATTCAATGGAGTGACTTCATAATGATTTTGAAAAGAAGTTGAGGTATTTGATCTCTCTAATTTGCATCGATACCCGCATATGACCCCAACGGATATAAAAAATATCTGTTGACTTTTATCCTGACGAGGAAACTATGCATTGTAAGATATATTTGAATCTTAAGATCTTGAATTTACTACCCTGCAAAAGTTAGACTCACAATGCATTTATACAGGAATGTTTAAAATTCTGCTCTTTAAATATATATATATATATATATATATATATATATTTGATCTAAATATCTAATAAGTGTTCTGGCATTATTTGTGTAATCAATAATACAAGGGTATTACAGGGGGGTGGGGGGTGGGGGTGCTTAACACCTATTAAAAGAAGTAATTTTTCTATATGTATGCCTTCTTATGTCTTGCTTTATTCTGTTATAGCGAGAACATCTCATGTGACACAGTTAGCTGCAGTCCGGGGAGAAGAACGATTCAACCGCTATGTTGTACCCGAGGTACAGATTACTCCAGCTGTTGCACAGGTCACAGGCATACGTGTTGAGGGGAGAAGGATGTTTCACTACAGTGAAGAATTTTATCCTGTATCTTTAAAGACGGCTGATTTCCTTTCTTAGCAAAAGTGAAGGCAATGTTCTGGTTGGGCACAATATCAAGTTATATGATTGTCCATTACTTTTTAATGCATTACTTGCCATTGATTACATACCACAATTTTCAAATCATGTACATGGTTTTCTAGATACACTTCAGCTATTCAAATTGACAAATCCTGGACTTAATTCATACGCTCAGGTTGAGTTGTTTAAAAATATTGTGGGGAGTGACTATGTTGCACATGATGCCTTGTCAGATGCCTTGTCATTGCAACAACTGTACTCAGCTTGTCATGCTTCTCTTGATGCAAAGACCCAATCTACTTTTTGACTCCTTGGCACGGTCTAAAGCTATAAAAGCTTATCTTCCAAGCCTTCAACACCTTGTGTGTGAAAAGGTTACATCTACAAATATGGCCAGAAAGATAGCCTCTAGTGGTCTCTGCTTTGACCACTTGAAAGTAGTTTACAAGAGACAGGGAGATACTGGATTATCCAATGTGTTTGCTGAAAAGTACCAGAACAAATGCAGGGTAACCAGCTCTCAGCAGATTGTAAATTCTCTATCTCACTACCTTTCCAAGGTTACAGTTTGATCAAACTTTGTTGTTTCAAGATGACCTGTATTTTGTTTAGTTAAGTGCTTTACACTGTAAAATTCGATTATCTTAAAAGATTTTTTTATCCCCCACCGCGAGTTTAGCATGAAGCGAAGGGTATTAGGTTCTGTCCATCCGTCCGTCCATACAAAAAAATTGGAATATTTCTGGAACCATTAACTAGATTCTTTTCATATTCGGTACCTATGTCACAAAATGGTATGGGGACGGTGGGGTGGCCTAATGGTTAAAGAGTTGGCTCGTCACGCTGAAGACCCGGGTTCGAATCCCCCCATGGGTACAATGTGTGAAGCCCATTTTTTGGCGTAAAACCTAACTCAGTCAGTCAGTCAGTCAAAATGGTATGAGAAAGGTCCCTGTCAGGTTTCACCATTTCAAGATTACAAGGAGGTAACACTTTATTAAAGTCAGCGAGATATAGAGGGTATTTTATTGCTTATTATATGCTTCATTGATGGAAAATGAGGTATGATAAGTCAAAATTGGTCCACTTTAGCTGTTTCTGATGTCATCATACCATTGTTTCACTGTCACTTAGCAACCGCTGATGTTCAGGTTACATCACCCTCTTTGTGATATTTTTACAGTGATGAGAAAAGCGATATATTACTGTAGTGATGAGCACTTTTCTCACTTTTTAGCATATAATTAATAAATCTCAAAAACAGTTCACTTGATTTCTTTTCATACTTGACACCAAACTTCATCTAGCGAAGGTGCAGGGATCACTGTTTTTTTGGGTGACCTTGACATATTTTTCAAGGTCACGGAGACACATTGAAGATTTCAGCAGATCTTCACTATTATTCCTCTTTAATTTTGAATTTTCACCTTAGGAGATTATGTCACCTTAGTATATTTGAATATGTGCACCTAGTTGTTTCATGTAAATGAGATAATTTAGCTTGAATTTAAAATGATCATGCTTTAGCTTTTAGGACCTCTCCGGTAGACAGTCTATATGCAGAGGCCAATGAACCTTCCCTTGAACAACGCCGCATTAAACTCTCACTGCAGTATATCACTAAATTACGTTCAAATGAGTCCAATCCAGCATACAATTGTGTTTTCAACCCGCTCTATGAAAACTTATTTCCTAAACTGCCAAGCCTGGTTCCACCACTTGGAATCAGGATCAAACCACACATAACTGCAGCTAAAATTGATCTCGACATCATTGCACCATACCGACTTCTATCCTCACCACCATGGCAAATGGTGAAACCACAGGTCGATCTCACCCTCACCAAACTCAAAAATCTGAAACAAATCCCTTGGTGTTCCAACAGGAATACAACCAGTTACGTTCTAAGTATAACACTCACAGATCGATTTTCACAGGCGGATCCAAGGACGATGGCCAAGTAGCTAGCGCTACAGTCATTGGAGCCAAGACTGTCTCCTCTAGGATCCCCGACAACAGTTCCATTTTCACCGCTGAAGCCAAAGCTATCTTCTCAGCTTTGACCTACATTCAACAGCAAAATCAGTCCAAAAACTTCATCGTATTCACAGATTCATTATCCTGCCTTCAAGCACTTCTAAATGTGACTTCAAGTCACCCAATCATCCTGGACATATTAGAACTGAACAACGACCTTTCTACTGGCCAATATGACATCATCCTCTGCTGGTTGCCGGGTCACGTCGGCATAGCAGGTAACACTAAGGCCGATGCTGCAGCAAAAGCAGCTCTCGAAAAGCCCCTATCTCCACTGCTAATCCCATACAGTGACTTCAAACCCACTATCAAAAGCTATACTCGGGACCTGATGCAAAACAGGTGGGACACTCGGTTATACCTACTTGGGTTGTCAGTCAAGACGCGATGAGTTAATTTTACGACGATGTCGTATTGGCCACAGTCGATTTACACATGACTATCTGCTGAAAACGGATGGGGATGGACCCCCCATGTGTGTCTCTTGCGATGAGGTGTTCACCGTCAAGCATATTCTGCTTGAATGCGTGGACTTATCGCCTGCAAGGGACTCACATTATGAAGCAACAAACCTAAAAGATCTGTTCTCACGCGTGAGCGCCCATCTGATACTGAACTACCTGAGGGAAGTTGATCTGTATCATAAATTGTAACTGTGAAATGTAACAACCATAAATTGTAACTATGAAATGTAACAAACCGCCTGCCTTTAAATTTGATGATATGACTTTTTCTGCTTTTGAATGACAATGTAATCAATAAATGTCTTTGAAACAAAACTCATTCCGAGTATGTACTTACAATATTTACTAATGCAAACTTGTTCTCGTCACTATATGGCTGGAAAAATGCCGATGTGACGTAAAGCTCAACTCAACTCAACTCAACTCAACTATTGTTTATTGTTGAATATATGTTTGGCTTCAATACAAGCCCAACATTTTGTTATATCCACAACACCACGTGTTTTTATGTGATAGTGGAAAAACCATGTTGAAATAACAGATTAGCCAGCCTAACTGATTGATATCTATTTACCTTCATGAATTGTGATATAGCTCACTGATTACTTTATTTGTTATACATTGCTTATTGAATATATTACCAGGACGTGTTAATACTTTTTTAATTTATAACATGGATGTGTACATAGCTGTTACATCAAGTGATTATAATGCTAAACTTTTATATCCAAAATGTTATGGATAACTTTAAAATCAAATGTACATGTATGTATGATATGAATAAAAAGTACAATAATGTAATAAATGTAACATTTCATTGTTAAGATTGTGTGTGTTTTGTTATTTCAAACAAATATTATTAAATAATTACTCCATTGAAAATATAGAGTCTAGAATGATATAATTATTTCAGTCAATCGTGAATAATGCCCAGTGTGTCAAATTTCTTAACTCTTCACCTTTTCGCTTAAAATATCACATAAATGTTAACATGGATGCACTTAAGCTAAGATATTTTAATTGTCAATACAATTAGTCATTCAACTATTTGAGGAAAAACTATCTAAGCCACATATATCCTTAATTTTATCATGAAAATTACATAACATTGGTGCAAATATGTAATTTAATGTTACACATTGTGTCATAGTGGAAAAAAACCCTCAGTGACCCATGTTTTTTAATACTTATTTTTATGGCAAAACATGTTGTCATTAACATATCGGAATTTTTAAAAAAATTAAATACTAGAAATTATGAAAATGAGGGTTCATGTCAGTACTTTGCTGATTTCCCCATAGACTCCCATGTTAAAAGTCTTGGCTAGCCAAGACTCCATATCTCCAGAAAACCCACAGTACCCCCTCCTTTTCTGGGCTGCTTTTACCAATACAAACGTCATACTTTAAAAATATACCAATTAGAAAAAAAGTTTAATACTATTTATATTACCAGCGAACATCCTTAATGATTAAAAAAAAGTTGTCAATATAAGCTATCACTGTGTCAAAACACAATTACATCTTAAATGTCAAGGGTGTAAGGCGACAAATTGGAACAGCCACCTAGCCATGCAAATGTCCCAAATTGGAAAACGATTGTAGTTGTAGTTTTTTAGAAAAGTGACCTGGAATGTTTTCTGCTCGACTGTAAATATACATGACGGATTCTTGGTCTTAATGTACCTGCATGTTGGATTGTCTCTGTATTGTCCACCCTGTCTGGAGACTGTGGCCTTGGAACACCCACTAGAGCATCGTATGCATACTGTTCTTCCCGCAGTGTCTGAAACCACAGATATCGCTGCATCTCATTTGTTGTTTTATTATTATGCTGTGCATGTAATTGTTCCTCTTTGTTTCAGACGTTGTCCAGATTACAACTTACAACACATAGCATTACATCTACACACCTTCTCCACGTTCTCACATTTTGCTTGAGACTGCTGCAACTCATCATTTGACTTTGACAATGCTGTCTTCACTGAAACGACAAAGATGCGAGGATTGAACCAGATATCGGTTTGTTACATTCCAGATATTGATTGTCATGTTTTATTGTAAATATAGTCATCATATCTTTCCCCAAATATGACAAACAGCAGTATTACAGGCATCACCATCGACGCTGACAAATGAAACTATGTTTTCGAAATGGTGAATACAAATTATGTTAAACATTATTTACTGTATTATATTCACGCAATATGGTAAATTATGACATCACTGTAAAGGTGACATCCAATTTGATCACAGATAATCGGTATCGACATACGAACGATTAGGTTTGACATCGTCATCGATGTATTCTTCTGTCAGCATATTCCTGGCCAGAAAATTTTTATTCACAAAAGCCAAGCCAGTTTGACTGTCATGTGCAATATCATCCCACTCCATGACTCTAACGATCCCATGAAGATCATGGTGAAGAATAGTTGATGTGGTGACATTCTCGGTACGTCGCTAACGTTTTACTGCCAGCGGTGAAACCCAGGCAAAATCGTAATTTGTCGGTAAACATTTCACGTAATTCGCGCACAGGCCGTCCCTGGTGTTGCCTGGCCCTGTCGATCTACACTCTGCACCCCCATCGTTCCCACAATTCGTGATTTTGTCTGGTCATATCTCTAAGGTGCCTGGTTGCATTTTACGATTGTGAGTTACTCCATGGGCGCACACATTTTGGCTTCTGTGTGCACATGCTTCTAATGTTGCCCTCAGATGCAATACTTTGATGCGGTAAATATACATGTCGACTACATGTACATCCAGGTCATTAGTTCTCACATTTGTTTGCTGGTAATATATACTATAAAAAATAAGTATCAGCTTACGAGTTTCAATTTCCTCATTCTTCCCTTCTATCTCTGACATGTGTTCATCACTTTCTTTCTTCATTCTTTCCTCCAGTTCAGCGTGATCAATGTTGTTTTGTTCAATTTGTTGCTCAAGTCCTTCTATTGCCTGGAAATAAACGTGAACGCCCGGTAAACAAGTAGATACCGACTTCTTGTAAATAGATCACCTGCCATTGTATCAGATTACACGTCTTATATAACCTTCAAGGCTGCTGAAAGAGTACGTTTTAGGTTTACTACCGTTGGGAAACACTAAACACGAGTGCAGTAATAATCCTATCAATTTTCGACTATTCACAAGACAAACGTCATTTAAACTAAATAAGAATACAAGATTGCAATGCATAATCATAACTTACAGATTTCATGTCAGCTATCTCTCCATCCTTTTTAGCAAGCTCCTTTTTGTACTGAGCTTCCAGTTTGTCCTTGTTAACATAGACGAGATCTGGGTTACCTAAAAATATAAAAGTTTCTTTTTTTAAGCCAGCGACTTTTGAATAATGCTTGATGCAGCCATTGAGGATGTTGGGCGGGTGAAATTGTGGCCCAGGGCTGGAAAACAGACTGGCATGAAACTGTTAGAGTTAACTGCTGTCGCCTGCGACATTTGTAATCTCTTGGTACATAAGTGAAGCGTCGCTATAATAACCAGCTACTGTCAGTATTTATATATTTATGCTATATATATACAGTTATAACATTCTTACTTTATTAGGTTCACTTAGCAAATCCATGTCTGTGATGCTTAGATTATTTGCAATATGTGTATGCACATCTAGAAAGCCTTGGAAGGTTTGCCTACCTTCTTCATTCGAGGTCTTATCAAGTCTTTCCTTGATGAAAGACTGTGCAGTGTCGAGGACAGCACAGAGCGTCTTGTAACCTTCTACTCCCTTCTTTTTAAGCGTCTCCAACACCAGCTCACATTTCTCTGTCCCAGCTTGTCTACACCTATCATAGTCTGCCTGTGTGAAGATACATTTCTCATACAAGGCATCCAGCACAGGGTCGACCTGAAGGTTCTCCTTCAGAAATGTGTGGTTCTTCTGAAGGACAGCAACGTGGGAAAGGTCCATTCTGTTATGTCAGGTGGTATACATATCTGTAAGAGCAAAATCACACTTTATCAATAAGAGGTATGTTTATTGTCTTCTATATATTTAGTATTCATGAAATATAGGGATTTATAATGAGTTTCGTGGTGGTATAATGCAAACATATCAGCCACAAAAAGAATCTGTACATTGTTAAAGTATCTCCAAATTTGAAAACATAACACCAGTTTTCACGTAACTGTAATGGGTGGATATAGAGATCATAAAAAGAAAGCAGAACAGCATGTTTAAAGTTATCTGGTGGATATGGAATTGGTACGCCACAGATGCCACTTCATTTCATTGCCAACATTCTTTATAGGAGAGAGATCCAGTGCATTTGCGGGCCAAGGCAGTACTTGAAGATTGTGCCGTTGAAGAAATCCTTTGGTTATGACGTTAACTAAATTGCCACTTGTCGAGAATCTGATGTCTGTAGCCCACATCAGTCAAATTGTCCTAACAACTAAACGTATTCTCTGACGTACATTTATCTCATCCAAAAGTTACAGAACCACCACTCATAGCGATTCCTCTCAATGACATTGTCTTGCGCAAATACTACCCACGACGCCGGCAGACACGCTGACGTCAGTCACTACGGGAAACCAACAGTCCTCCATCACAAATAAGGTACACGGAGATGACATCACAAATACGGTACACGGAGATGATTTTGACAAGACTTTGGCTGTTTATGGATGTCGTCGTATCACGATAGGTCGTATGGCGGGACGACGTGGTTGCATCCCATAATGACGTTGAAGTTTCCCCTGACTTTGTCGCCGAGTCCAAGAATGGTCTGAGCAGTAGTAACAGTGGTGAACACTGCATTCCGGGATATGAGAATCACCCATATCCATCTGTCATGTTTTGGGGCCGTTGCGCATGTGTCCATGCCGAAACCACTGACGTCCAGAAACGAAGCACATGTTTTCACCGAAATAGTTGTGTGCATATGTAGTTCCAATGTAAACTAAAGGGCACAAGAAACGATACCAAGGAAGCTTTTAACTGTAACTTTGAGGAACCACACAATATCATTTTTATATGCGAATAGATGTGTTGTCAATATAAATCAAGAGAATATAAAACCTATCAGTATCTCGAATGTCCACCACAGGCATCAACACAGGGCCCAGGTCTACATCGTGCTGGGAATGTCAAACTCTTGATAACGAGCAGATAAATTCTTCGTTACACCGTGAAGAGCCAGGAAAAGCGCCTGTCTGTTTCTGGGCATCACAGGTCTTGCACGAAATTTTGAATCCAAATGATCCAAAAGATGCTCAGGTGGTGATATGCAGGTGACCATACAGGCTAATGTGCGTGTGTGTGCGTGCGGAAAGAAAACCACATCAGCTGGAAGTAATTACAAATATTTTATATAGCTGTACCTTAAAGATCACATGTACCCTAGGGGGGTACAAATAAATAAATCACTAACTGGCATCGTTATAAATGAAACACCGCCATTAAAACTACTCATTTCAACCTTTAATTGACTTAAATCGACCTTTTTGACAGTGCACAATTCTCACCCGTGAACGAAATTTTAACCAATCAGAGCGGCGCGTCTCTGTGACGTCTATGAGGAATAGCTTTGAGGGCCGATGCAGAATTCATCTGCATTTTAGGGGATACATTATCTTGTTTACAGGCTTGTATAAACCTGAAATCGTGACAATTGTTGTGGAAAATGAAAGCTATATGTTCTCACAATCTACTGTCATTTAATTTTGTCTCCTGCTTTGCCTAGTTTCCGAGTTACAACTTGTTTTCATAGACGATTCTGTCAAAATCGATTGGTGTCGTTAGGCCCTATTTGTATAATGACTGATCCAAATTGATCCCGTTTCTGTGTTTTTTTACCTCGATATTTAATCATGTCATGTAAAAATCTGTTTGTATTCTCAACACAGCGTCGGCCCATAAGATTTCACATGCAATACAGCACTTAATACTCCCGTGTTGTAACCCGTGTTAGGTGGTATAAACCTACACATGTTATTTGTCATCATTCACTTGATGGTCAGTTAATGAATTTATAACAGATATAATTAATGGTAACACACTTAGATTACCCGACAAAGGTTCCCATTTGGCATTTCTTGTGTCTGGAGTAAATATTCAACATTATTAACATCGATCAAATGATTAACAGATAACACGCTGATTGATTAAATACTTTTATCTTACACAGCGGATTTGTCAAAAGGTAGTGTTTATATATGTAGATTTACTAATCTATACTGAATACACTCTGTCGTGTCGGTGTCTACGTAGAACAAACGTCCTTCTTTCAAAGGATTAACCGGCAATACATTGATTGATTGCCCATTATTGGCTAACTAAATTACCTTTTTTAAAGAAAGGCGGACATTATGCAATTAGTTGCCAGGTGTGCTATCATGGGTGACCAATGAGACTATACACCAATACCTGAAAAGATTTATCACTTTTTCGTATATTAAACTGTTAAAAGACACATCATTTGGAACATTTTTGTGGATATTGATGGATACATTCCTCGAACAAGGTAATGGCCTGATATTGTTCCTATAACTTTAATCTGTTTTAATTTTAATATTTGCATTTTGTTATTATTCATTTGTCGTAGCATTCAACAGAATCATTGTTTTCGACGTGAAGCGTAATGAGACAGACAACATACACGAGGGTGTGTGTGCGAATTATGATTCTCATTTGCAAACTATAAAATATCTAGATATTACAGTTCTGTTATAAATTCACTATAAGTATCAGCAGATCGTCTGCTTTTTATTTAGTTTCAAAATGCATACAAGTATGATAATAAACTAATTAGGATTATAAGACCAAATATAAAGACGCGCATTGACTGGTATCTACATACTGATGAGTGGACATTAACCATGTGAATGTAGCAAGAAATGTATCGCGCAGTATTGTGACTTCGACCCCCACCTCGCTTCAGTGGAAGAAATCGTTATGTTATAAGTTGTGTCATACAAAATCCGTTTGATTATGATTCCAATACATATTTAACTATGAGTAGAAAGTAGTTTTGATTTTCTAACTTGATGAAAACGAACTATAATCTCATTAATTCTAACAGACTTTACGATGTTCAAAAATGGCGGCGCCCTGTCGGGAACATCCGCCAGTCTGAGGATAAATGCTATTTAGGTTTGTTTTCACCGAGTTAATAAACCAAAACTACTTTCTCCTGGTAGTAAAATATGTATTTGATTGATGGCCAATAGGATTTTGCATGACATAGCGTGTAACATAACAATTTCTCTCCTGGCAGTGAGGTGGGTGTCAATATAATACTACTTACAATATTATTGTTACTTCGACCACAACCTCATTTCTGAGGAAGAAATCGTTATGTTACAAGTTGTGTCATGGAAAATCTTTATGGTCATCAATCATATACATATTTTACTACAACTAGTAAGTAGTTTTGATTCTTTAACTTCCGTGAAGCGATCTGAACACAAGTAACATATCGTTTCTGGCTTCCACAACGCTCGCTTCGCACTCACAAACATAACCCATTTAGCACGAACTGCGGGGTCCTGTGGAAATCTGTGCATGGTGACACCATCGCCGACCCCTAGGAGAATTGACGACAAAGCAACGATTCGGCATGTCGTCGTTGATGTCGAGAAATCATCAAAATGATGAGCGTGCTACACACTTTCTATACAACTAACTGAAAATCGTTCCTCATATGACGTCACTGCAGTGCTCTGGCGACAGAGTTACGTAACCTGTCTGCGGTTTCGTTGGCGGGCGAGAGGGAAGCAGGCGACATTTTGGCCACTTTCAATCGCTGGGTATTAATTAACCACAATAAAGAATTCATTTGGTGTTCCGCATAAGACTAACCACAAATCGTTCATATGTAATGGTTAAAAGAGTAACAAAAAACAAAGTTTATTGGTTCTTTAAGTCACATTTCCCTACCTCTTTTCGTTACAGCTCCTTATAAACACACGAACACAATTAGTGAACCTAATATCCATCATGGCTAGCTACTGTCTTGAATACATTCAAGGATTCGAACATTAATCTGCCATCCTAGCTATTAAATAGGTCTACAAAACTAGACGTCCATGTGACCAAGAATCCTTAGAGGACAGTTTTGATTCTTACGAAGTAATGATTTAATGTATCCCACTGTATATTAAGAGGTAATAACTACATTATTCAGGTATCTGGTAGTTTCCCTCAGAACGCAATACATGTATATTTGTTTCTGCGCAATTGTTTAAGGTTCCTGTGAACTAGAACACATCTGCTTCACATAAATCCCTACTCTGGGAATAACCTTGATATGACACAAGAAAAAAACAGCATACAACCCAATATGTCCACTGCCATGTTGAACAATAAATCGAACCTGGAACATCAAGAACAAGGGGCACGCAGCATATCTAACTCATCAGTTCAAAGTATGAACGCCTATTGAGCCAGATACTTTTGAAAATAAGTCAGTGTTCAGTTATGTGAAATTCGAATAGATCGATATGGAGAAAAAGCGAGAATTTGTGGTCCGTGCAGTCCCCATGATAAGCGGTGTTAAGAATGTTGTCTGACGACATACATAATGCGTGCAGCTTTTAATACCGTGTGAAGTCAAATTAAGCTCACGGTGTTCTCACTGCTACTGCAATCACAAATATTTATGCATGTGTCAATTGAATGAGGAGGTGAACAAGGAGATGGTCTTTAATGGTAGGTACATGTATATAATGTCAGAAACAGAAACGGCACCCAGACATACACTTTGATTCAATTCTTTCAAACCACAATTTGTTTATTCAAATTTTACAGGCAGGTATGTAATGTCAGAAACAGAAACGGCACCCAGACATACACTTTGATTTAATTCTTTCAAACCACAATTTGTTTTTATACAAATTTTACAGGCAGGTATGTAATGTCCGAAACAGAAACGGCACCCAGACATACTTTGATTCAATTCTTTCAAACCACAACTTGATTTTACAAATTTTACAGGCAGGTGTGCAATGTCAGAAACATAAATGGCACCCAGACATACACTTTGATTCAAATTTTTCAAACCACAATTTGTTTATACAAATTTTACAGGCAGGTATGTAATGTCAGAAACAGATACCGCACCCAGACATACACTTTGATTCAATTCTTTCAAACCACAATTTGATTATACAAATTTTACTTTTTCCTTATACAAATGTATATACAGTTTATCTGTATTGTACAGTGACAATTCCAAAGCTTTCTGGTGATATTGCTATATCTAAAAATAGGCATAACATAGATAAAACATCACTGCAAACACCTTATCCGCAGATAGATACAAGACTCGCGAGAATATACCAACGCCTTGAGCATGCACTAGTTGCCTGGATAAGTGCGTTATATAATTATCCTATAATAATAATAAATAATAGCAGAAGACAGATGTAGCAACGCTAGCGAGAGTGTTCAGGGACATATTACGCAATGTGGGCATATATAAGGTAGTGTCGCTTAACAGTAAACCTAGTTTAGCGCTGTATTAACAAATGAGCTTGTTTACATGATTCTCTGTTTAGGAAACCGGGGGTAAGAGGATGTGTACAGCCTGTGAGTGATTCTGTACAATTACCCTCTATTTACAACATCTAATTCATACGGGATCCATACACAGAGGGAATTGCCCAAACCATATGACGACCTGACCTCACTGTTGACAAGGACTGTAACTTGACCAGTTAACGAAAATAAATGAGAAAGGAATAACTCAACTGGGTCTTACCTGATCTATGTCTGTCGTGTGCTTGCAGGTCCTCCCAGTCAAACTCGTAATCAGGTAGACTACTTTCTCCTGAATAATGACAGACGGTGTTTGTCAATCAGCCCCTCTGGTCCTCTGTGTCCAGCCAGAATAATGACAGACGGTGTTTGTCGATCAGCCCCACTGGTCCTCTGTGTCCAACCAGAATAATGACAGACCATGTTTGTCCATCAGCCCTTTCCGGTCCTCTGTGTCCAGCCAGACTAATGACAGACGGTTTTTGTCGATCAGCCACTCCTGTCCTCTGTGTCCAGTCAGACTAATGACAGACAGTGTTTGTAGATCAGCGCCTCTGGTCCTCTGTGTCCAGCCAGAATAATGACAGACAGTGTTTGTCGATCAGCCCCTCCAGTCCTCTGTGTCCAGCCAGAATAATGACAGACGGTGTTTGTCGATCAGCCCCTCTTGTCCTCCGTGTCCGGCCAGAATAATGACAGACGGTGATTATCAATCAGCCCCACTGTTCCTCTGTGTCCAGCCAGAATAATGACAGACGGTGTTTGTCGATCAGCCCCTCTGGTCCTCTGTGTCCAGCCAGAATAATGACAGACGGTGATTGTCAATCAGCCCCACTGTTCCTCTGTGTCCAGCCAGAATAATGACAGATGGTGTTTGTCGATCAGCCCCTCTGGTCCTCTGTGTCCAGCCAGAATAATGACAGACAGTGTTTGTCCATCAGCCACTCCGGTCCTCTGTGTCCAGCCAGAATAATGACAGACGGTGTTTGTCGATCAGCCCCTCTGGTCCTCTGTGTCCAGCCAAAATATTGACAGACGGTGTTTGTCGATCAGCCCCTCCGGTCCTCTGTGTCCAACCAGAATAATGACAGACAGTGTTTGTCGATCAGCCCCTCTTGTCCTCCGTGTCCAGCCAGAATAATGACAGACAGTGATTATCAATCAGCCCCACTGTTCCTCTGTGTCCAGCCAGAATAATGACAGACGGTGTTTGTCGATCAACCCCTCTGGTCCTCTGTGTCCAGCCAGACTAATGACAGACAGTGTTTGTCCATCAGCCACTCCGGTCCTCTGTGTCCAGCCAGAATAATGACAGACAGTGTTTGTCGATCAGCCCATCTGGTCCTCTGTGTCCAGCCAGAATAATGACAGACGGTGTTTGTCGATCAGCCCCTCCGGTCCTCTGTGTCCAACCAGAATAATGACATACAGTGTTTGTCGATCGGCCCCTCTTGTCCTCTGTGTCCAGCCAGAATAATGACAGACGGTGATTGTCAATCAGCCCAACTGTTCCTCTGTGTCCAGCCAGAATAATGACAGACGGTGTTTGTCGATCAGTCCCTCTGGTTCTCTGTGTCCAGCCAGAATAATGACAGACGGTGATTTTCAATCAGCCCCACTGTTCCTCTGTGTCCAGCCAGAATAATGACAGACGGTGTTTGTCGATCAGCCCTTCTGGTCCTCTGTGCCCAGCCAGAATGAAATGTGTTACATCAAGGAGGCGACTAGAAACTCACAGTACAAAGAAAGCTCCAAAGTACAAGTCACGTGATTACTAACGTAACACCCCATTTCTAGGAAATCGATGGTCTACGTGCAGCCAGACAGGACTTTCAGGTTACAATTGTTTAAGACGGGCGAGGTAGGTCAGCCGTATCACAATAAAATGCAGTTGGATATTATGTCGAGTCTGATGCTTGTTTTGAGCAGTTGTCATGACACGCTGGCTTTGACAGGCAATGTGTTCTTAACAACCGATATGGCCCTTTGATCTATAGTCTAATGTTTAGCGTCTTCACTGGTAATTATCACTGTACTATAGCCAGCATGCATTGACTAACAAGAAAGGTCCACACACTGACATCACTGACTGAGGTATGGTGTTTGTGAGAAGAAAGACGCGATTGAATTTAATGCTGTTTTGATAAGTTAACAGTATCACGATTCTATCTCGTTTTCGACTTTAGTAACATAACGCTGTCATGTCTCCACCGATACCCGACTAAGGGAATCATTTACTAGCTCTCAAACATGCTGTGAACATCATTGTTATCCTGACAGGAAACGTGAGTCCAAAAACATTTGGCAAAAGATGTGTTCTTTTATTTTTGGCTAGAATTGTCTAAAACGCTAACGGGGAGGGGATGGTGTAAATCCAGCTAGGGTCCATGCAGGAAGCAAAAACGCGTTAACGTGTTGTCATCGGTCTGCCATGGACGAGAAGACATGGCAAACCTGGCAGCATGTTTTCGGCAAGATATAATTTTCCATTCTGCCAAGACTGACTGAGTTTAGTTTTACGCCGCTTTTAGCAATATTCCATTAATATCACGGCGGGGGGACACCAGAAGTGGGCTTCACATATTGTGCCCATGTGGGTGCTGCCAAGATGATGATAACATCTACAGTATGGTGTAGGATGAGTGTGTGTGTATATGTACACAAAGTCAGATTCACCTGAGCCAAGAATCCGAAACACAGGACAGATTTTCATGCCTTGAGGGATTAGAAACAAATGTCATCATGGTGTGCATGAAAGGGAACAACAACAGCAATTAACACCACAGAAATGCAGTGTCATTGCCATGTACTTACGTGGTTCAGGTTTGGGCATAAAAACTTTAATCATTGCTTCAACACATACAAAAATATCTCCTACATTTTGATGTAACCATACATGTGAATACCACAGTCAAACAATACAAGATGGATATCTGAAACCCAATTCCTTTTACCTCTACCATCTAGTTCTTTCAACAGTTTATAACATTGGTGTGGATATCTGTTTTCACAAATTCTGACCAGTTTAATCCAACATTTAACAGCTCTCTACCTACACTCACACACAAAAATACGTCCCGAAATATTTTCCAACTACCAAACAACACAAGCTCAAACACGGATAGATATGCACGTTTACTATGCATGACGAAGGTGTATGTAAAGCATGTATGACATAAAGAAAGAGAACGTGGTGAACCTAACAGTGGTACAGAGAATGTTGACACATGGGGGTCGATTGTCCAGTATTCGAGCGCAAGCCAAAACAACAAATGACAAAACAGAGGTTGAAATGGGAAGGCTGATCGTCAATACCGCGCATGTCCACCCCTTTCATCGGTGCACGTCAGAACACGTCGTCTGGCAGAGTGAGTAAGTCTCCTGATCACGCGACTGGGGATCCGATGCAATTCTGTGTGTAATGCCTGAGCAAGTGCATTCTCGTCAATTGAGGGTGTGGAAGCTGTAGAATCCGACGTCCAAGATGCCCCCACAAGTGCTCTGTCGGAGACATGTCAGGGATCTTCGTGGCCAAGACTGTACGGGCACGTTGTTGACGTTGAGAAAGGCCGTTGTGACAAAAGCGGTGTGAGGTGTTCTATTGTCTTGTTGAAACAAGGTTCCTTGATATTGCTGGAGGAAAGGCAGGATATGGGACTGCAGAACTTTATCAATTTACCGACGGGATGTCAGGCTGCCACTGATGATAACAAGGTCGTTCTTGAGGTTCCCACATGCCACCCCAAACCATCACATTCCCTCTACCATATGGTTCCGTTTCCTGAACGCAACGATCCGTCTTCGGTCGTCAGTTCTGTTCAAATGGAACCAACTCTCGACGCTTAAAAGAACCCGTTACCGGTTCCGTTGCTGCCACTGGCGAACATTCCTGGCCAAAACCAATCTTAGACGTCGATATTCCGGCGGTAACGTAATGCCCCTCAACGGTCTACGCCCCGATTTCCATGTTGACGTTGTCGTCTGGACACTGTCCACCTGCTGACGCGATGACCAAGGCTAAGCACTGATGATGACGTCACGGCGAGGAATCCGTTGCTTAAATGAAGCGTCCATATATAACGGTCCTCTTGTGGGGTATTGACTTCCGGTCGACCACTCCTCGGCCTGTCTGCTGTCCGGCCAGTTTGTCTGTTATGTGTGACCAATGTCCCAATCGTTCTTTTTGCACAACTACCAACCAGGATTCTTCCATCATGGTCGTGCGTTGCCCCCAGCTGCAGCATTCCAACCGGTCTTTCTTTATTTTCTGCTGTTAATCGAGGCATGTTCTACTGGTTTTTCAGATGATTGTTTGATTGCAAAGAACAGTTTCAAAAGTATTTCATAACCGATCTCCATACGGTTGATTCCCTGCACGTGCAGAAAATTTCACTGCATAAAGTCATTTCTCCCGCTTCTGGCGTGCAACACGTGCATTTCCTTGGGCTGTCATATATTTGTGTGTTTAGGCAATGTGTTCCAAACTGTTTTTCATGTTTTTGGCCATATCCAGCAAATATAATATAAATTAAATTTTGGGGACGTTTCTTTTGCACCTGAGTGTACTTAACACAACAAGTTGGAACTCCCAATTCCACCTACTATTGCCTCATGTTATGCTAATTTCCCAACACACAGGAACTTTTGAAATAAGATGTTTGCACCTTTTCAGTACAGTCATGCTATTTAAGATCCAATATTCCCGATGCATGCAGCAAAATAGGTGCAATTTTGCCATCTAGGATATCACATGCTGTCCAAAAAGACATAAACTCTTTGTTATGGCACAGTCTATATACATGGAAAACGGCACGCTGCTGACCAAATCAACCTGGATGAGAACATGATGCCAAAATATTTATAATACGATACAATTTTCATTTTTACACTCTCCCCCGTCTTCTTCCCTCCCATGCCATCTACTCTTTCTCCCCTCTCCTGTCTTTTGTCTTCCTATTCTCACACCTTCACGTCTAGTACTTATATCCTATATTTGCTTTAATTTGTCATTATGGTACGTAAAGCAAATGTGAGGATGTTACTTTCACAACCGTGGATAATATTTTACATCTGTATGTGAAATGGATATATTTGGCATCACATAGAAGTAGTGTAACACCCCGCTTTCTTTGTGTATTTATGTACCGCATGTGTAACATCTGACCTTTTGCTAATAATAAAAAAAAGATTATAATGTCTGTCTTTATTTCTTTTTCAGTGATATTTTGACAGAGCAGCTCATTCGTCCAGGGAGCAGCAGTACAAATGTCACAAGAATAGTTTTGTCTTTGAATAAACTAACTGTATAATCAAATTCTGTTCTTCTCGCTCCAGCGCATGATTTAGTAGTTCTGTAAAATATGAAAACTCTTCTCCAGGTGTAATAACATCTTGATTGGTCATGGGGTGCAATGCCTTCTAACAGCACTCCAAAAACATTTACAGTCACCATATGTAGTCGAAAGGTTTATGTTGTCAATTAGACACAGATTACATGCAGTTCTCTTTAGTGTTAAACAAACCTTGATTTAGCAGATATATACTGTTGAAGATTAAAATCAGTCTTAGACATGTTTGCACTCAGAGTCAAACCACGGTAGTTCTTTCTTGTTTTCATGATACGCTTCCTCTATTTATATCAGGTACCTTACAACAACAAAACAGAATACCATCTGGTAATTTCTTGACTGCCATATTTACATTATATCCCCCAAACAGGGGTAAAAAATCGGTTAACATTTGTGATCTCATAGTATTTTTTTTGTCGTATGATCTACAGCAACAGTTGTATTGATACCGGCCATCGTAGCAGCCGGTGGTATATGATCTGATTCTGGCCTTGGCATTACGTCAGTGTCTTTAATATTGACAAATAATTCACTTGAGATGATAAAATAGTCCACAACACTACAGCCTGAGTGTGAAGGAAATATGTAGTTACTGGGTGTTACAGGCACGACCATTTACGATGTGTACATTAAGTTGCTTACATATATACAGATATAGATCTGAAACTTCACACTTGGACATATGAATTATATTAAAATGGGTAGTACAAAGTAGTTATAATGCTCTTTCGTGAAAACACAATCTTGCATGTGATCGGTTTTTGCATGACCACAATTTCATGTGCCTAAAGACAGAGAATTTGCTGGTGATTAGGAAAAGAGATATAAACAACGCTCATGCTTAGCCTTCAAGTGTTAAACGCGAACGTGTAATTGGCACGCTGGTCAGTCTACTGTGGCTGTGACGGCTGCATCATTTGCATAATCGTTTTGTAAACGCGCAGTGTAGGTGGCGTGTAACTGCCCAGATCATTCAAAACCATCCGCATGCTGCCCATCTTGGTGCCTGCCGCGCTAATGTTGGGTCGATTCTCACTAAGATAAACGTATAAGCAGAGCACAAATGCACCCAAACATGGCTAAATTGACATCATGGGGTGGTAATCGAGATGAGCTGACCTTAATCCCATCGAACAAGAATGGAATGCGCTTTGATGAAGTTTTCGTGCCTTGAGACGTGGACCCAAGAATATTCAAGAGCTGGGCGCCATGTTCGTACAGCAACGTCGCAGGTTGTCCAGTGCTGTATTCACAAGTGTCAGGCGAGAGGGGAGCGGTGCTGAACAAACTTCAATACAGGTGTCAGGCAGTGAATGAGGCAATGTTGCCTTGTTGAATGTAGGAGAACATAAATACAGGTGTCTAGTACCTGTGAAATTAAAAAGTGACCCCACCGTGCTACTGTAGGCCTTTGAGGGTGCCAAGACCACCTGAATGTCTAATTCCATTCTAGTGTACGCTCGTTAGTTCCATAAACAAGATTTATCCACAAGCAACATTGTTTGTTTTATATGGGTATGTTTGGCCATAAACTAACGAATGTAAAGT